TAATATTATGCGTCGATAAGTAAAGAACTTCGTAGAAATCGCGAGATCTTTTTTTAAATTTATAAGAAAGATAAAATAGCGGTAAACTTAAGTAGAATAGCTATCCTTCGAGATCCTATATATTAAATATATTATAAGAATAAGTATATACGATATTAACTTAAGCTAAATCGTTTATATATATATTAATATTTTCGATTTTATAGCTAGATATACAATTATATAGTATTATATTTTTACACTATAAGAAGCTACTCTATTAAAAGCTTTATAATCTTAAAAGTCTATCGTAATAGAAAAGAATAAAAAGTATCTATCTTATACGATTCATTTATCTTTAGTTTTACTTAAAAGAAATATCCTACTTATAAGCGAGAACTCTATATTATTATTATATTTTATAAAAAGTATAACTACTTATATAAGTACTCGTATTAATCTACTATAATATATACTAATTATAAGTCTCTTATATACTTTCTTAACTTAGATCTTTATAAGAAAATCTATAGATATTGAATTAATAAACTTTGTCGCTTAAATCTTACTATTTAATATATATCTAGACCTCGAAATAAAGCTATTAATAGCTTATCGAGGATCTTATTTGATATTAAATACTTAGAGAATATTATAATTACATAAGTATGATAGAAATTAGAGAATTATACTTAAAATAAATCTAGAAAAACGATAAGAATAGATTCGACTTATTTTTAATAGTACTTATTAAATCGAAGTAACTTAAAATCGTTAATAGAGGCACGCTATATAGTATTTCTTCTTTCTTACTAAAAGCTATTTCTACTACGAAAGCTATAAAATCATCTATAAAAGTCTTTAATAAGATCGATAGAAATATTAAGATTTAAGTTAAAGCCTATCGCAGTAACGCCTAATTTAGCGAAATCTACGAATTCCTTATTATAGAATCTTCGATCTCTTACTACTACTCTACTTCGAAAAGCTTTTAAATATTAAATAATACGATATATCCTATAGATCTTTCGAGAAGATATATATTTATCTTATGTGCCGAAAGGAAAGATATTTACTATACTTCGAGAAGTTTATAACGAAAGCGGATACTAAGCTAAGACTAGTATCTTAATAAGACTATATAGCTGCTAATTGGCCTAGAAAAGTATAAGATATTAAGAAGTATATTACTAGATATCTTAAGTATATTAAATATAAACCTACTATTAGATCTTAGCCTTTATATTCTATTAAAGTTATATATCCTTTTTAGCTTATAGAAATAAATTTTATAGACTTACTTAAAACTATTAAAGTAGGATTTACTTTTATATTCGTAAAAGTCTACTATATAAGTAGATTTACGATTTTCTTTACTACTATATCTATTAATATAAAAAATATTATCTAGTATCTTAAGTTATTCTTTATTATATATAAAAAGTCTTATATCTACTATCTCGATTGCGATTAGTATTTCTTTAATAATAAGTTAAAAGAATTCTTAAGATTTGAAGATATTGCTATTATGTATAGTTCTTCTAATACTTCTAAGAGTATAAAAATAGTCGAGATCTATAATAAACTTCTAAAAGCGGTGTTTCGTAAGGATTCTCTTTATATCGAATTAGAATGGAATTAGCGTTTATTAAAGATTAAAGATTTAATTAATATATGAGTTATTAAGTACTTAGAAATCTCTTTTACTAGTATTCTTTTCGAATCGCTATTAAAAACTTTTATTAGTATATCTATCTTATATATACTTTTTAAATATTTAGTTCGTATTAGGTTCGATTCCTAATGGCGCTGGTACAATGGTGTTGCGGTGCTTTTTATTTTCTCGGGAGAAATAAGAGGACAAATGTACGTCCAGAGGTAGAAGGATGACTTGGCTATCTATGACTGGTGCAGAGCCTGATATCTACCATGGTTAAGCCCCACTAGTCTTGTTGGCTAGGCAACCCCTATCAACTCGAGGTTGCGAGCAAAGATAGGTTGTATCTCCCTACAATTCGCGTCCGTCCGGAAATGGCTCTGGTAAACATACGCAGCGATTGTAACAGACTTCATACGTCATAATGAATCCAACTCCACCTCTAGAATTTCGTCTTGAACGTGAGCGCGGCAGCCCAATGCAGACCTGGCCTCGGCGACTCGGATATGCACGCCCAATCTCGTTCAGCTCAGCCTCAGTCACGGATGATCTTGGCACAATGGGGATAGGCCCCAATGTAGTTGGAGAGCGCAAGTATTCATCGAATGAGAAGGAGGTCCCTTCACTCGTAACAAAACAAGAAGTCTCTAATACGACCCTTCACCATAACTCTAAACATCACATCAAGAGCCTATAAGGTCTACCACTGCCGACTCAGCCTCATTGGCTGAAGCTGCCTCCAGCCGCGCCTGCGTCAAACCATACTCAAGGCTGGGACTTCCTTTACAGTCATGTCAGACATCAAAGCGAAATCTGATGCATAAGTGGACGCCACCAAATCGGAATGGGTAGAATATAAGTACAGACCCTGATCCAAACTATTCGAGATCCGAGTCATGGAAATTCATCCTATGAAGACTGAGGATGGCACATATGGCCCAGTAATCATCGAGTTGATACATACAACCCCCAAGGAAGCTCCGCCTTTAATAGGTATCTCGTATACTTGGAAGAGTTCGATGCGGAACTACACGGTGTCGACTACCAATAAAGAGGTCCTTTATATAGTTAGAAGTGTCCGGGATATACTGCAACGTCTTGATCCCAAGGGATCGGATCAATCTACCTACTTGTATCTGGACCGATCAACTGTGCATTAATCAGGCTGACGAGGGAATAAAGTGGCAGCAATTCCGGATCATGAGGAGTATCCGCGAGCATGCCATGGGTACATTCGTCGTCCTTTGCAGGGTGGGCGATGCTATTGACGAGCTCCTGTTCATGACTGGGCAACTTGGAATCACGCCGTTGCGCTCCATCATTGGGCCTTGGTCTAGAAATCGCCTTGTCTTGTCAGGGGCATCCTTAGCTCTCTTCATTAACCCGGATTTGCGGAAGTCGCTGATGAGAGTAGTGAAGAACATGGTCTTCAGTAGAATTTGGGTATACCAAGGGATTTAGAATTCCAAGAGAGCAGTCTTGCTCGGCACTAAATATCTCATCAGCTGGGATAACTTCGCCACAGTCTTCATGCAATGCCTTCTATTAGAAGCACAAACGCCAGGGAATCGTCCTCTGGGTTCAAGCAGCGTGGCAGGTCTGAATCTCATCAACAATGACCGAATAAGTCTCTAGGTTGGAGAACATAAAGACTGGGTGTTCTTACAGACCGAAGCGCAGGGCCTTTTCCATTGTTCTGATTTTCGAGATATGGGTGTTGCGTTCAAGACTTTGGAGCTCCCGGAAATTTTCATCTTGGCAGCGATATACGGGCATTGGCACCTTTCGCGATGGTTGATGGAACGCATGCCATCACGGGTACCTGATTGGTCAAGGGCACGAGACAGCATCCCGTTGTACTGGCCAATGAGCGCACCAGCTCTTAATGCTGCCAAGGGCTACAATCATGAGCCTATGGAGGATGAGGAAAATTGGGGGCTCCGTGTCAGGGGTAAGCAAGTGGACATCGTGAGAACACTTGTTGACCACAGGTTCGAGGAATTGAGAGAGGCGACAACGCGCCCAAGCTATGATTGCAGCAATGACTGCGACGTACTCTTTATATTCCTCCTATACTACCGATATTATTGTCGGACCCCCACCAGACGCAATCTTCTACGATGAATTGGTTTTCATGTTAACCCACTATGAGGAAATAATGGAAGACACTGAGCCCTCTCTATCACCGTGGACTTCCTCACGCGTTGTTTTTTATGCCTCGCACATATGGCGGTTCGCAGGGTGCTATGTCAAAAGTTGGGCAATGGAGCAGCATCTGTGACGAAGGCGCAGAGTCTTTGCCAAAGGTCCGGGTTTCGGACTTGCTCCTAAGCCAGCGAAGTGCGATGATGCGGTTTGTAAACTTTATGGTTCCAAAGTTCCTGTTGTCACTCGGAGGCTCGGCCGCTGCTACCGCGTGGTGGGGCAGTGCTACTGGCATGTTTGGATGTATGGAGACAATGTAAGCTGGTTAGAAGGAGAAGGCAATGTATTCAAACTTGCGTGAGGAGACCCAATCGCTGGAGGAGGAATGCCACCATATGGGTTTTGCAAAACTCTTCCATACACCAAGCAGGTATTCAGATTGGCGAAGTCCATCAGTAGACATTGGTTCCACACATCTATTTCCTTGCATCAATTGGCATCTACGCCCTTTTACCAGAAGCTAAATGTGATGAAAAGAAGGTATTGGTACAGCCAGCCAAAGGAGGGAGACCACCATGTAAGAGGATGGATCAAAAGTCAGGGCGCTGAACTTCATACCCTTAACGGTCGATTGTGGGCTTCACCCTCAACCAAACAGGCTCTTGTTCACCAATGGAAACCACAACATTTGAAGCACTGGGTAGCAAAAACAATTCTTGTCGATGTGAGCTGTTCCACGTCTTACAGATTGATCCCGCTTCGACAGTCACTTTTTCCGGACATCTTGTCTGGCGGCAAGTTTTTCTCCGTGGGACTGGATTTTTAATGTTCGCTCTACCCATGACTTTTGACTCGTTCTTTTACGCTGATTCTCGGTATTGTTCAGGATAGGATTTTCTTACATGTCGGGATTTTTTTTGAGGTTTATCGTCCAACAGCGAGGTAGCACTCCTTAGTGCCTTTCGTGTTGATATCTTTAGGGACTCATACCGCTTCGACTGCCAAATTTTGGGCACCTAGGCTGGCCCGACAATGAATCGACCTTGCATCAGAAGCAACTGGCAAACCTGTTTTGCAAAGTATGTTTAATGTTTGGTGTAGAGTGGTATCTGAGCGCAGTCGCTGAACTAAAGATGCAAAGCAATTATGCTACAGCCAGAGCAGGGAGATCATCACGCAAGAGCATAAGCAAGCGCTACGAAGCCTTCTCCTTCTCTCATCACCTTCCCTGCATCACTGCCCTCACACTCCCATGCACCTCCACATGGCCTGCGACCCCAAAGTCCGCAATGCCTGTCTGGCTTCCACTCTCCATCCATCGCTGCAGTAGTTCGTTACTCTCTTTCGGCTTGATGTCCTGATGTGCTGTCCCAACCGTAATATGTGCTATCGAGTTCGCGGTCTCCCAGCCCTCGTCCAGAAGCCTGACAACGATGCACATAACCCTTTCATCCCAGATGACACGTTCGAGGCGTACACGACATTTGCCGAGCAGCGGATCAGGAGTTTGAGCGGAAGGATTGTGGGATGCTTCAGATAATGCTTTGGCGTGTATATCAGAGAGGTGAGACCAAATCTCTGGATGGGATTTGACAGAAGCGCGATGTATAAGGGTGACGTGGAAGGCAGGCTGGAGACGGCGAGATTGCTGGAGCTGGCGGTACATCCTCGCAGTTTCAGGGGATTCTCGGCTGAAGAGTTTGTCGAGGGTAGACAGCACATCATTTGTAGGTAATTTGATGCAGAAGTACTCCAACTTAGAGGCCTTGGGTTGAGAGGGTTCGACTCCAATTCCATTGGTGTTGCTGCCTCGGTCTCTTTTATTACTCTTGAAGCTGAGGTCGTGCTTAATATCAGGTTTGTAATCGCTGAGAGCCGCCTCTATTGCTTTGTCAAAATCCTCATCGGTCGGCATCTTCGGAACAAGCTTGGGATACATCTTATGTAGGGAGGATACGACCGTCTCGAGGTTTTCGCGAGACGAGGCCGCAACATCCAAATCAATGATTTGGTCAAAGCCATCGTCAGGAGCTGCATAAGGGTTGACCGGCTCAAATCGACCAAGGAAGCCTTCCATGATACCAAGGATGTCCGATCGAGATTTAGTACCAGCTTGAATAGTCTGATGGTTGTCACCACGCGCGAATATTCTTTCTTGGGTGACTTGACGTATTTTGGGGAGCATCTGAGGCTTCGGGTCATGAATATAATGCAACGCAACAAATCGAGCTCCAGGGACAATTTGGAGCACATCGTCCATGACCTGCTTTCTTTCCCTCCGTTGATGATTGTTTCTGTCTGCAATCATAACAGGATGGTCAGCTAGTGTATTGGTTATGAGCGTGCAGAACTGTTTTGGTCTATTTTGTTTCCCGGTGATATTGTCGTTCTGGACATGGCCCCAGCCAAAGAGCTTTGTTAGAGCAATTGCGACAGTCGTCTTCCCACATCCTATGCTGGCAATGGGGAGGAGTATTAAATCTCTCGTAACCGCATCCGGCGAGCTATCCCCACCTGCTTCTTGATCCTCTTGTCGAGTTATGTCTGAACCCTTGAGACCCATTTGGTTGAGAAAGCCATTTCGCAACGCGATTATTCCGTGATTTTGTTTGTAAGCCTCGCCGATGGATGAATCTTTTGCCAGCTGGCGGCGGGCGTATTGTAAATACTGCTCCGTGATTTTTTGGTGCTTCTTGAACCTAGGAGGCTTGCCACTAATCACAGCCTTCGTCGCTTCGCGCCATTGCCGGTACATCAAGTATGGCTCCTCGAACTTGTACTTGAAGAACCAGTCTTGGTAGTTACCTCCTTCGCCGGAATGTCTCCTTCGACTACGTATCACAAAGCCTTCTGTGTCTCTGCCAGCGTACGAGCCGGTCTCAGCACAATCCGAAAGGAACTTCTTCATTGAGTCGATGTCGTCTTTGATCAGGTACTGCGCTTTCTTGAATCCCCATTCGTCAGCGAATTCGTGTACTAGCTCGCCAGGGTATGTTGCGAAATCTGGGAGATTCAGATTGATGCCATGTATGTAAAGACCCGCGTCTTTCGGCTCGTACGCTAGAACATGCTCTTCGAAAGAGTCATCACAGAGTTCCGCAACAGCAGTGACATTTCGTTCTCTCAGCTCTCTTGCCAGATCCGCCTTTTTCTTTCCAACAGTTTTCAAATGCTTGTCCACCCAGCGCTCTCCAGCAGCGGCATGGCTCAGATCGACGTTGTCTCGAGCTCCTGTTGAGTGCTTACTGCAAACCAGGAGTTTGTCACCTTCCAGACCCGATATGAAGATGATGCATCCATTCTCCTTGACACTAAGCTCGTAAGGTCCTTTAGTCATTGATACGACATTTTCCCAATTTGTCTCATGTACTTCGCCAACGTTGAAGAACTTGTCATATCCTCTGGTGGCTATCTCAGGAGTACCATCTTTCCGACGGTAGGTAAACAGACCCCGAGCATAGGTTGGAAGGTCACGACGCTTGTAATCCCAATCTCTAAACTGCCATGAGTCCACGGTGACACCACCGGTACCGGCAACGTCGAATGTATGTTTCTTGCATGTCAGGGAGTTCTTCCCGCCTCCATGCTTTTTTGTGCTGGCTTCAAGGCCTTTGACCAGGGCAGCAACCTCTTGGGCATCCTGAGCAGCATATGGAACACTGCTTTGAGGAGCCATGCTTTTAGTGTGTAGCTTGGAGGTAAGGCTGTTGACTGTGGTACTTAGCAAGAAAAGGTGTCGTATGGTCAGCTGAGGTCTGAGGATGGCAGGACATATAATATAGCCGCTCGTAAGCATTTCATTTCAGGTGTTGACGTTTCTGATTCAATCAAGTGACTCCCCAATGCGCCTGCCTGACTCGCACTTTTGAGTCACTCCAGAGTCAACAATGGCCCGTTTCCACAAGGCTGAAATTTAGTGGCCGCAGATGATCGTCATCCCGCAGCTTTGCCGAGCTCTGACCTGAGACACTTTCGAAGAAATCTCTTGCAAACGAATAGCCAAAGTAAATGGATTGATCCGCATGGCGCCCAACACCTTCACCCTTGCTGCCGACAATAGCCCGCACCTCCTCCCTATCCTACGCGCAAATCCCTCCCTCGCGTCAGCACAGGACGACCATGGCTACTCTCTCGTTCACGCAGCTGCAAGCTACAATCACCTAGACCTACTACAGACTTTAGTACACGAGTTCCACGTTGACCCGAATATTAGAGATGAAGATGGCGAGACGGCTTTATTCGTGGTCGAGAGCGTAGAGCCTGCGCAGTGCCTCCTTGAGGAGTTAGGAGCGGATCTAACAGTCAAGAATGAAGAGGGTATGACTGCCGAGGAGAAGATACGGGCTGAAGGAGAGTATCCGACGATAGCGGACTTTCTGAGGGAGTCCAGAGTCAGAGGAACTCCGGCCGTCGGGGATACTCAATCTACTCAGAACGGATCACATCCACCTCCTCTTCCGCCCAATGTAAAGGTACATTTGGGGACTATGGAAGACCCGCAAGCAATAGGAGAAGGCACAGAAGCGGACCCAGAGTTCAGACGGAGGATTGAAGAGCTTGCAGCTAGGGATGACTTCCAAGGAGAGGAAGGGCAGAAGCAGTTGAGAGATTTGATCAAGGATGCTATCAGGGGAGCTGGCAGGGAAGACGAACGACAGGTCAGGCCGAGGCTTGAGTAGGAGCACAGGAGTTATAAATTTAAGAATATATGTATCCGATTCTGGATGCGAAAATGCCACCAATATGCAGACAGTATCCAGAAAGCCCCGAGGGTATTATGCATCGCCTCTCATTTTCTTGAAGAAATCCATCACCCCAGTGAAGACCACCAATAAGATGCCTCCGCCAGGACCTAATCGCAAAACTTTGGGCAAGAAACCCTTATACAATGCTGCAAAGCCCTCCTCCTTCATGACGGTCCCAAGTGCAGGCCAGGCCCAATTGTACTTGGGCACGGAGCCTTTGATCTTCGGCGAATTTTGTATCCTGGATTTGACGACATCCATCGGGGTGTTCAGGACGGTACCAATTGTCCCTCCAGCGGCACCAGCGACCAGATCGTTCCGTATCTGCTGGCCTTTGCCTTCGGCCTTGGGCAGCCATCCCTTGACTTGGAAGATGACGCCGAAGTATCCGGAGTTCCACAACATGTGTCGCCAAAGTGTGCTCTCAAGACCGTTGTACATAGCTAAGGGGCCTTCTTCTTTTACGATCTTGGCCACACAGTCAATCATGCCATTGTATTTCCCTGCTGAAGCCCGATCTTGCAGCCTTATCTTGACGAGTTCGAAAGGGACGACGACGAACGCCTCCGTAGCACCAGCTGAGGCACCGGTGAGGATGGAGAGTTGCTGGTTCATTTTGGACATGCCAAAAATGCCGCGATAGTATTTACCCCAGGCGTCGTTCGCTGCGAATTTAGTGGCTCTTCATGTAATTTCAGCTCATGCAGAGGATTCCTAGGGGAAGAAAGCTTCTACCTCTTCGGAGCTTCCATCAGTATGGGCGCTGTAATTCCTCGATACAGTCGCGAAAAGCCCTCGTTTCTTATAATCTTTTGAAAGCAATCAATCATTCCATTGTAGCCTTCCCCTCCAACACCTTTTCCTTGTTGCAACTGCCTGTGGTCGCGAATCAGCCCAGCCCATTGACTGTGAAGCTCGAAGGTACTGACACTCGGGTCTTGACAACATCCAGTGGGTACCTAGAGCCTTGTCAACTCACTGCTCCCGTTAGACGTAGTTGATATAGTGTAGTACATCACTAGAATCTATGATTGTCAGCTTGATCGCCGTTGCTATCTGAAACCACACACCTCTGATACACCAGCTACTGCACCTGCAGCGAACTGGTAGATAAACGGCAATGGCTTATCTTGCGACATGATGGCGAGATTCAGCTAGCTAGGCCTTATAGATATCATGTATGGTTCCAAATCAAGGCAAGCATAGGCCCTCAACACAGAGTAGGTGAGACTTGTGAAGTTGCTGGCGAAGGAGAGCTGGATTGCTTTTTTGGTCCTTTGATAGGGACTCGGAGAATAGAATTCCCGAGATCACGTGCGGCCCTCTCCTCGTGTCTCTGCAAGATGTCATTCTGTCATAGTGGACGACCTCGGGGACGCTGCGCTCAACGAAGTCAAATAAAACCATTGCCATCGATCATCTAGTTGGATCTATCCAGTCCAGGCCCATTCAATTTCCTGAACGAGCATAGAAGAATACACGGTTTCTGGCCCCCTTCAATGCTCATTTTCTTCCTGCCTTCCTTAGCTTGTTAGCCTCACATGAGCATTTTCTTGCGCGAATGTTTTGCGACATTTTCTTCCGCGCAACGTGGGCCTGATAACCTTCTCCTCTCGTGCCGTCTCTGTTAGTGGTGTGGTCACGCCCTCTGGGCGCAGTTCTTGCACCAACCCAACTGCTATTGGTATTCATGGATGACCGGCTTACGCGGCTGCAGTACTAGACCAAGGAGACGGCTACCTTAGGCCTGTCAAAAAGCTCGGCTGCATAACACTAAGCTTGATTCAGAACTTTTTCCGCCGTCTCTTGTCTTTTCAGTATACCTAGGTAGAAGGCTGAAGTGGTCCGTTGATTGCAAAATCACAGCCGACAAAAGAAGCTACCTGGAATGACTTCTTTGATGAATCTCCATGCCGTCGATGGGAAATGTATGAAGGAAAAGATAAACGATCATGTGCGAGAGCCTTCTGATGCAGACATTCCGAATCGAATTTGTATGCTATTTGTTCTTGCCGCACTGTTCCTGCATGCAGTTTTGCCCTACATAGGCTGCATTTATGACCCTGCATTTCCACTTTGCATTGTATTGTTTGTGGACACTGACCCAGTAACACTATTAGCACAACCCATGTGCTGGGCAAGTAAGACCTGGGTATAGCCTAGTAGAAAATAGGCTGTGATCCCCATTGACAATCTCCGCAAGCTGTCTACAGCCTCCGTGCTAAGAGCAAGGTGGTGTAGCTTCAACACCTAGGCGTCCGGGTATTTTGGGCGGCTCAGATCCTCTGACCTCAAGTACAGTACTAATCTTAATCTCTTGCGTCGACTATCCTTGCTGCTTGCTCTATGCAAGTTTTGTTTCGGTGCACCTATGTTTTCAATCAAGCAAAGCATCTACCTTGGACTCTAGATCTCGGGCCATTTGTTGAGTGATGGCTCTCTATGTTATTTTATTGCTTCTAATTATCCAATGGAGTTTCTACGCTGCAGCTCAAGGTACGATCTTACTCTCTTCTCATCTTTGTATCAGGCTCCGTCTGTCTGTAGCCAAGGCGATGATTCACGGTTATTACTACGGTTGGCCTTGAGTGGAGAAGCTAGATGTGGTTTTATTCCCTTTCTCTCTCACCTTAGACCTTAATCCAATTTTGAGGCACTATATGAGTCACCGTGTTGACATGATCGTTATTGTTGCCTGGTTTTCACAAATAAAGGTCATGCTGAAAGCGAGATAGCCACCACCTACCTCAACCGGACGACGGCGAAATTGGGCATTAGCGACACGCCTATGTATAGCTTTCCTCTTGCAGAAGTGACAGCATTGGATGATCTTTATGGCGGAGTGTCGGACTCAAGTCTTCGCCTCTACTGTGAGTCCGCCCTTCTGGAAGCTGCAGCTCAATTCCAAGTTCCGGTCGCTACATTCACGGCTACATCAACCGTTGCTGGCTCTCTCATACCATACACGTCCGTGTCTACGGACTATGTGGCCAGCGTAACAGCTAAGCCGCCCTGTTGTGCAGACCGTCCCATCGCTGGGAATCCTGCTCAACTGCGGTACTTCCCAAGTACTGAGTCTACGATATCTGGCGCGAGCGTAACAGTGTCAGATAACTTTACTTAGTGAGAGACCGTCTTCCCAACATTCTTTAAAACCAGCTAATGACACTGCACAGTACATCTCCATCCGTATACCTAGTTCTGTCGTCTGTGAGAGCGACCAACCTTTGCGGTACCGTCGGCACTGAATCTACGCAAATAGTCACATTGTCGTTTCCACCGAATTACCTGTACACTTACGTTGGGGAGGTGGGAAATTTAGGCATTCCAGGAAATCAGGTCTCTTCCGAATTTTTTAATCCCACTGACTTGGCAAACTGTACGACTTTGACCGTCTTCACCAATTTCGGAGCACATTTCGCCGACCCTTACAGTCTATTCATTGTTGCACCTACACAGCTATTGGACATTGACCCAGCGTTTAGTACATGCACGGTAGTCCCCCATCCATGTTCTGCCCTGAAATAAACTACGCCGTTGCAATCGACTGATTGGTGTACTTGTAGCTTGCAGCCCTCGGATTTCACGATCCATCCACCGCGCTCACTCCTGCCAAGTATCTCGCACCTCATCCCACTCCTCCACCGGCGCCTGGTCCAAGTCCAACTGCCAACGAACCCAAGGCTACAATTGGCGCCGGTCAACAAGCTTCGAATCTGCAGCCTAATCCGCCGGTCGGCAGTCCATCCGACCCTGCATCGAACCAACTTGCGCCGAACGATCCTTCGCCAGGTATCCCTTCACCAAGTAGCTTCGCACCAAATCCTCTTTTGATCAGCCCATCGCCAGTTGAGAACCCTGAACAGGCACCAGGCAGCACTGCAGGAATTGTTGGCTCAAACACTCAACCTCAGCAACTGCCGCCCGCCGTTGATTCGAGCGATTCAGGCTCCAACGATCAGTCACAGCCGGCCGTGCCTGGCGCGGTCTCAATACCCATCCCAGAACCTCCCTTCAGTACAGGACAAGGCCAACACAAACCGTCGGTTATATCAGTGTTGGGCCAGGCATTTACTGCCAACTCTGACTCTGTTTTCGTAGCTCCATCCGCAACACTTATACCCCGTGGTCCGCCCATCACAATCTCAAACACCCCTGTATCTCATGCTCCATCTGCAAACTCCGTCCTCGTCGGCCTTAACACGTATGTTGAAGGTACTGCGCCAACGTCGGCAGTAGCAGTGCTTCCACTTGGAGACAAGTCTACAACTGCAAATACCGCCTCCCAATTTATCATAGGGTCTCAGACTCTGAACCCTGGCGGCGTCGTCATGGTTTGGGTACTCCCGCTCACTGCCTTCTGGATCCTCATACGCCCTAGTGGGCTCATCCACAGTCTCATTAATCAATTCGCCCGCAACAGCCAATTCACCTGGCGTTTGCGGGCCAAATCTACAAGGCAAACCCAACAGACCGGGCTCTCGTCATTGGTAGCCGGACCGTTACCCCTGGCGGTGCCATCACTGTCGCTGGTACTCGAATTCCCCTGCCTTCTGGGTCCTCATTTGTGCTGGTGGGCTTGTCAACAATCTCACTAATTCGTTATCCAAGTATGACTAATTTCCCAGACGCCTTGACGTTCGCAGGTCAGACGTACACTGCAGACTCGCGGAATGGCGCCTTTGTCATTGGCGGCCAGACTGTCCCACCTGGCCGCGCTATTACAGTTGCCGGAACGCGAATTGCTTTAGTTCCTACCGCTGCCTATGCAGTGGGAGGCACATCCACGATCCCATTGCATGGCAATTTGCAAATTCTCATTACATTCGCTGGCTCAACGTACACAGCGACTTCAGGGAGCTTCATGATTGGCAGCCAAACATTGACACCCGAGGGTGCTATCACCGTCTCCGGGACTCGCATATCTTTATCTCCTGTTCCAGCCACTCCATACGCGGTGATCGGCTCATCGACGGTTCCGCTTGTGCCTGCCACCGTTGGGCCAGATCTTCTAACTTATGGTGGGCAGGTCTACACGGCAAACTTGCCTACCGACTTCGTCATTGCTGGGCAGACGTTGACGCCTGGTGGATTAATTACGGCGGCGGATGGAACTCCGATATCACTCGCGCCAGCCGCAACGGATGCTGTGGTGGGAATGAGCACTATAGGTATTAGAGGTCATATCATGAACGGGTTCAATGGCCGCGGAGAAAGTGGTGCTAGGGGCAATGAGAGTGTGGTGCAATTCTGAAGAGAGGGGCAGGGAGGAAGGAATATGTTAAAACGAGCGCTGAGGCGAATTTGGCTGTCATTCGCGATGGTGTTGGGAGCGTTTGCAGTAATGGTATGGTGAAAACTTTGTGCCCTCTCTCAGGTGCGCGAGGCTTTTAATCGGATTCGGCGTCCCTAGGGGCAAGGTGTTGTGGGGATAATGGCGCACTATCTAGGTAGCTCGATAAAAGCACTTCGTAATGCCTGCGCCCTTTCGTACCCAGGATGTTCGTCTGAAACATGAGTAAAACGACAGCGAGATTGTTGACATTTTTGAACCACCGGAGTCGTAGCATGGCATCCCATCCGACCAAAGGACCACTGGCATTGGACTTCGGAGAAAGGTGGAGCCGGAAAGTCACGTGCTGGCGCGATCGCGTTTTCCAACGCGTCCTTCATTTTGAACAACAACAGATTAAAATGGTGGGGTCACGAGCCTCGGAAGCGTACCAATCAGAGCGTAACTTACGATAAACTGAAAGTTTTTCCGCCAACCATGGCGAGTCGCCAGAAGTCTTTCTTCGATCGGGATAAAAAGGTGTGTGTTCCGTGACAACTTCGGCAAGCCACAGGACTGACTACATGTACTTCAGCAGGCTCGCCCTTTCTTGCAGAAAGACTGGAAGCGTGAAAACGAGTCTCATGGCCCTCAACCTTCCTTAAAGCCATCCGCCCTCATGGCTCCCATAGCTGCCTCCTCACAATCCAAGTCGAAGCTAAGAGCCTTTCAATACGATGAGAGGAATGACTACACTGTCCCCAAGGCTGCGGTCACTGAGAAAGAGAATCACGATCCCGAGCTGGACGCGACGACCCTGAAGATGGACCCCCCTCCACAGCATCTCTCGCAAAGATCTGCAAAGGACGTACGAGATTGCCCCCAGACACCAGTCGGCAGACTGCCATTGACGGAGCTCCTCGCAAGTGGTGATGATACGTCTCGTCAGCATCTGAACTTGACACCCATTGAGCGAGTCTTATGGGACAACTCGCCTGTCAGCTCAGAGCCTGCAAAATCAAGGCAGAGGGGTAGAAAGAGAGCACATAGCTCATCTCCGGCGTCATCTTCCCAAAATGACACCTCTCGCCCCTTTGGGAGTACCAAGCCACAGGCAGACCTCCCGGCTTTGCAGAAAGCTTTGAAAACACCAAAGGCTGATCCCGCTGACGATCTGTGGAGTCGTTACTCACTCAACACAGGCACTACCGAAAGACAGTCCCCCACCGCGCCCGCTGGCTTGGCTTTCACCCAACTCATACATTCATCATCGCCTCAAACACCCGCTAGTCATCTACAAAGCAAAGAGGGGAGTGGCTTAAGAAGGGTCTTAAGTTGCATCGAATGGCCGACGTCAGCAGCGAAGAGGAGAAAGCTACAACAGAGCGGCACGTACAAGGACTCCAATGGTGGGCATGCTAGAATTGAGGGAGGCCCCGATGATACGAACGAGAAGTCGAAGATGTCAAGGGTCAGCTTCCTGGTTGAGAAGATACATGACGGTCTCACGAAGCCGCGCGCCATTCAGGAGTACTCTTCGTCTGAGCCTGCCGGATCCTCACCTGTGGCGCGGAATGTCAACGAATCACCCAAAGGACTCGACCTACCATCGCAAGAAGGCCAGACAGCAATCGACGACGTCGTCACTGTTCTGAGTCAAACCGCTGTAGCACCCAAAGAGCGCCCACTCCTGCCTCTGGTACTTTCTGCGGAGGAAATTGCGGATCTTGAGAAAGCTGATGGCTCCTCTGACTTTGGAGACGATGATATCGATCTAGAGATGCTCGAGACGGTGGACGCGACTCTTCAGGCTTTCTCGACAACAAGAATGAAGGCCGCGAGCCCAAGACGCAGTAATAGCAACCGACCCATTACCACAGTCGATCCAGAAGAGCACATACGAGAACCTACCCAAGCTGACTCTGCGGAGGCGATCTCAGGGGATACCGAGAGGCTGTCCCAAGTATCCTTCCCCTCTGAAATATCCTCTTCACCAGCACAGGTGGCGCCCTTGAATCACGATGAGTTTGGTGAAGATGAGGATGAGGTCTCTGCAGCCGACCTGGAGAATGTCTTCGCTCAGTACGATACCCAACCACAGCAACATGTTGCTAGAAAAGATCATCTTGCGAAGCAAGCAGATTCAATGCGTCCAAAATCGGCAACTGACGTCCGTAAAGAATCCATATTCAGACCTAAATCCGTTATTCCTAGACCTGTGATTACCACTCACATCGAAGTGCTGTCTGATGACGAGGACTTCGGCGATGATTCGGATTTTGAGCAGATTGCTGCTGAGTGCGTCGAGGCAACCAGAAATCAGCAGGTATCACAGCCTCAGTCATCTGTACGTACTGTGAACTTTCGCTCATCTATATTTTAGCTAGCTAAATAACGAAAGCATGACAGAAAGATGCCGACCATACAGCGTTATATAATCAAGGCCGTAGTCGAAAGTGAATACCAAACAACTAGTGGACATATGCGACCAGAGAAGGTGCCCCATACTCATATCTCATGTGTGTCATTCCTATGGCTGACTTTGACAGGTACTCTCTGTGCAAAGTGAAGGGACAAAGTTCAGCAAAGCAATCATTCTACGACAAGCCTGGGTAGACACCCCCTGTCTCCCCGAGTCTTATGTCCATCTCATCGGAGATTTTGATCGTCTTGGTCAATGCGTCGTCGACAACACCCAGAACCTGCTTATCCTTCATCCTGATCATCTGATTTCATCTACTGTGGTTGGAGATTCGTTCACATGTACTCGCAAAGCTGTCCTAGAAGCTCGAGTCAAAGCCACCAGTGATGCCAATCAGGCCACTCTTTACGGGCATTTGCTGCATGAGATATTCCAGGAGGCGCTGAAAGCTAATAAATGGGATGATGGTTTCATGACTTCGCTCATTGAAACCATAGCGACGCGGAGCCTGGAGTCGCTCTTCGAGCTTCAGATTGAGGTTCCGATCGCCATCGAGCAGCTCAGAGCCAGGGCGGTCGATTTGCAGGCTTGGGCTGAGATTTATGTTGCCGCAAAACCGAAGGTCAGGCTCTTCTCGGTATAATTGAGCAGAAGCTGATTACTTGTTAAGTCGAACGCCGTTGTCAAAGATCGGAATGGAGCCCAATCCCTCATGTGTGTCAACAAGCTTCTCGAGATCGAAGAAAAGGTGTGGTCACCAATGTATGGCTTGAAGGGCAACATCGATGCCACAGTACAGGTGACGTTAAAGGACGGTGAGGATGAAAAAACATTAACAGTACCGTTCGAGTTGAAGACGGGTAAAAATGCCAACGCATCGCATAAAGCCCAAACATCGCTTTACACCCTTTTGCTTTCCAATCGATATGGCGAGTCACTCAGTGCACTAAGTTTTTGGTTACATGACTAACCCCTTACCGCGCGGCAGATGTCGAAATTGCTTGTGGTATGCTTTACTATATGCAGAGCTCCGAAATCTCTAATGTCCAAACTATACGCCACGAATTGGTACCCATGATCATGCAACGGAACGAGTTGGCAAGCTATGTTCGTCATCGTGCGGAACTCCCCCCAATGATCAAGCGGCCATATACTTGTGGCAAATGCTTTGCCCAAACACCATGCTTTCTCTATCACAAATTGGTAGATGACGGTAATGGCGAGACAAGCGGCCTTGGAGAGAGGTTCGACGACTTCGTTAAGCACCTGAATCCTAACCACCAACTCTTCTTCAGCAAGTGGGACGCTTTGCTGACGAAAGAAGAGAAAGACTTTGTCAAATTTCGCAAAGAGTTGTGGACAATGCAAAGTTTCGAGCGCGAGAGGGTCGGACGATGCTTCGGCAACGTCATTATTGACCCAGGTTCCTTCCATAAAATCGAAGGCGCTCTAAAGATCAACCGCTATGGCTATACTTTCGTCAAGCAGAAGCCAACACCTAGCTTCTCTTTCATAGAATCCCAGATCACTCTTGGTGAACCTATTGTGATCTCGGACGAGAAGGGACACTTTGCTCTTGCGAATGGTTACGTGACCAGCGTACGGAAGCACAAAATCCAGGTCGCCATTGACCGCCGTCTGCATAATGCTCGAGCAAAAGGCAATGATTTTGACACTCTGCGAAACCAAACCTTTGCAGGTATCATGGAGGTGGTTGACAAGGGTTTTGGACAATCAACCATGATACCCACGCAACCTGATGAAACTATAACGTACCGTCTCGACAAGGATGAGTTCAGCAACGGCATGGCAATGATTCGTACCAATCTCGTTCGCTTGATGGAGAAAGACGTTTTTGGTGTTCAAGCCCTTCGGAGATTGATCGTTGAGAATGTGGCTCCTACCTTCAAGCCCACAGCGTCAGCGTATACTCTTGCAGATACGGCGAGCCAAGCTAGCCTGAATGTTGACCAAAAGGCTGCAATTGAGAAGGTGATGATCGCCAAAGACTACGCCCTCGTCCTTGGGATGCCGGGAACTGGGAAGACGACTACCATTGCACATATTATTCGAGCTCTTGTAGCCCAAGGAAAGAGCGTTCTACTTACCTCATATACGCACACTGCTGTCGACAATATATTGCTCAAGCTACGCAACGATGGAGTTGGCATCTTTCGCCTCGGTGCCGTCGCAAAGATCCATCCAGAAATTCAAGAAGTTTGCAGATCTTGCGGGCAAACCGATCAAGACGATGGAAGATCTCAAGAGATGCTACACGCAACCAATTGTCGCAACAACGTGCCTAGGGATTAACCACCCCATCTTCAATCAGCGTGTCTTTGACTACTGCATCGTCGACGAAGCGTCTCAAATCACACTTCCCGTGTGCATAGGTCCCATCCGAATGGCTAGGACATTTATCCTTGTCGGCGACCACTATCAATTGCCTCCTCTGGTCCAGAATAAAGAGGCTCAAGAAGGTGGCCTAGACATCAGTTTGTTCAAAACACTCTCCGACAACCATCCTTCTTCAGTCGTGAACCTCGAGCACCAATATCGTATGTGCGAAGAGATCATGACACTCAGCAATACCTTGATCTATGACGGCCGTCTCAAATGCGGCACAGCAGCAGTCGCCACTCGCTCAATCGTTATTCCTAGCATAGACGCCCTCAGGCAACATCACCATAACCCTCGCAGTATCCTCTCTGCCGACCCAAAGAAAGTCTGCCCTGGCCCTACCCGAGGGTCCTGCTGGCTCCGCGATCTCCTCGATCCTTCCGTCAAAGCCTGCTTCGTTAATACAGACCCTCTCTTGCCTCTTTCTCGTGAAGCCCTGGAAAGCGGGTTACGGATCACAAACCCCTGCGAAGCAAAATTGGCCACCCAACTCGTCGAATCTCTTATCACCACAGGAATTGCTCCTACAGACATTGGTGTCATTACTCTTTACCGTTCCCAGCTGGCACTGATCAAGCAATCTCTCCGCCACCGCTCGGGCGTCGAAATGCACACCGCGGATAAGTTCCAAGGCCGTGACAAAGAAGTGGTGGTACTCAGCCTCGTTCGTAGCAATGAAGACCAAAATGTCGGAGAGCTGCTGAAGGATTGGCGGAGAGTCAATGTTGCACTGACAAGAGCGCGAACCAAATTGCTTGTGTTGGGGAGTAAGAGTACGCTCGTGGGAAACGACTTGTTGAAGGACTTTATCGTATTGATGGAAAGAAAGGGGTGGTGGTTTGATCTACCGGCAGGAGCATGTGAAGGACATGTCTTCGAAGACGTACAGACGCAAATCTCTGGTAGGGGAAGCGCTGACACCAAGGCTGAAGTGGACTTTGGGAAGGCGAAGGTAAACATTGAGAGGCAGGCACTTGGAGAAGGCAAGGAGAACAAAAGGGGTAGGAGGGTCCCCGCGAAGCAGGGGAAGTTGGATGTCAGCGTCTTGATGGGCAAGAGGCCTATTTTGAGAGACATCATTAACGATGCTTCTTGAGTAGAAATCTGTGGATGGCGAATGGCTATGAACTATTCAGGATAGCATGAAAATAGAGCAGACAATGATGGTGATTATGAGATAGAATCAACTGTTGCATTGAATCTATGTAATGGCAACGTCCATTCCAACCCCAGACCAGACAGCAATCTAATGCCATCGCTAGCGCCAAACAACAATACCAATCCCTTCAGGCGTAAAAACAATCGACTAAAATGATCCACCCTCCAGCGAAGCTAGGAAGGCATCCATGTCGTCCAGGTTTCCAATGTCCAAATTGAACATGTCCTCATCGAATTCCTACAAAATAGATGGTCAATCGCGGTAATCTCTCTCCACCCTCTTCGCTCCCACGACGGAAGCTATCTTACCATCATTTCCGCTTCCTGTACTGGCTCCGCCGCCCTCTCACCGGCCGGCGCTTCCGCACCCACATCTTCCTGCAACGGACGTCAGTAAGCGCAAGGTACCAAATCCGCAACTCAGGAATCTTACATTCACCTCCCCTTCGTCCGACCCTTGGCCTTCCCTAGCCGCCCGCCCTCCCAAAGACTGCTGCTCCGCCGGCTGCTCGATCACCTGAAGCGTCCGTCTGTCAGTAATAGCAATAACAATAACAATAATAATACCATCAGTAGTAGAAGGCCGATAACCATGCCTCATCACTTACAACTCCCTCCTTCTCACCCGACCGGCTTTCTCCTCCTCCTTCTTCTTCTTCCTCTCCTTTAGCCTTGCCCTTGCACTTGACCGAAGGCCGGTTCCACGGCTCCGCCAACCGCGCTTCGGACCCGACGCCGCGGAGGCTGTTGCGGCCGTACATGGTGGTGTTGAAATGCTCCTCCGGCGCCACGGTCGCGTTGACCCAGCCGGTCGAGGGGGCTTCTTTGGGTGGGCGGCCGCGGGGTTTGGACGCGGTTTTGGCGGGGCGTTTGGTGATGCCGGTGGACGGTTTGCTGCCTTTGATGGGTGGCTTGGTGGCGGTGGGGGGAGTGGGGGGAGTGGGGATGGGAGATGGCGCTTGTTGCTGGGTGGAGAGGGTGGGGGGGGTCTTGCTGTCGTTCCGGCGTGGGTGGGAAGGTGTGGTTGGCGGTTTGCTGGTGCGGTTGGATTGGTGGAGGGGCAGGAGGAGTTTTGGGGGGGGACTCCTTTGAAGGGCCGGCTGGGAGGCGCTGGCGGCTTTGAGGGAGGGGAGTTGGCCGTTGGAGGAGGTGGTTGGGTCGGAGCTTTTGAGACTCGACATTTAGGGGGAGAGGAGCATGCTGGTGTTGGGTGATTGGGGAGGAAGAAGCCGAAGGTCGCTTGTGGGTGTATGGGCGAGGTCTCAAGTTAGGGTCCATGGAAGAGGGACCAAAGTCTTGTTGGTACATCCTGGTATGCAATATGCAACGAGCTGGAGGTTGCTCGTAGGTGTTGCGGATAGGTTCCATGCTTTGGCTCGCGGGAGCGGAAGCAGGCTCTTGTTGCTGGACGTTTGGTTGAGGTCTAGCCTCATGCTGCTGTTGCTGTTGCGGGTAGTGCAAAATCGGTTGGTTCGGAGGCGTAGATTCTCCACAAGTGAAGAGGCCAGTGTCCGTGTACTGGCTCCTAGGAGAGAGAGCAGGCCACTGTTGCTGCATCCCTGGACTGAGAAGAGGGGCTAAAGTTGGGCTTGAATCAGGGATCGCCGCTCTTTGACCTACCTGCTGGGTGGGTTGAAAGCTCATGGCGCTGCGCGGCTGTGGACGTTGATCATGCAAGTCTGTAGGGTATCTGAAGAAGCTGCAAAGAGCTTTGGGCTTTTCGACCCCAACCTCGTTTGCCAGGTCATTGTCAGTGGCCGCGTCGAAGTCGAAAAAAGAATCGGCGGCGGTGAATTCGGTCATGGTGGGTAAGGGATTGGATGGCTGTGAAGTGAGGGATGTATGTGATTGTACAGTAGAATCTGAGAAAAAAGAGGGCTTGTAAAGTGTTCAGGGTAATCAAATTCTGGGAGATATTTTGATGTGTGCTGAAAAAAGACAGGAGATGCAGAGCCTTCTGCGGTATATATTTATAAAGGGATATTGGAAAAGGGAATAAAATCTCTGCACGAAGAAAAAATCTTTTACTTTTTTTTCCCAAAAGAGTCGCGACAATGAGCTCAATTGAGAGAGGTGCTGCCTCTGCGAAAGAAAAGTCGACGCGGACTTCAGCTCAAGTATTAACCACAACTTTGTTCCCAGAGTACATACTTCCTTCCGCGCCTTTCGTAAATTCTGGAGTGCCCAGACTCTTTCGTCTTGCCCGCCACAGCGACGGCGCTTTGGTTATTCACAATCTCATCCGATACATACAAAATCGTATAGGCATCCTTCTGATCAGTCACAGCAGTCTTAAAGCTATAGGCACTCAAAGCAAAGAAGTGTTCGCTCGAAGCTCCTTCTCGAATTGTAGTCTTGGCACTATGAAATGTCAGAGACGCGTCTGCCAAGATGCCAAGAAATCGAGAACCGGGTGAAAAATGCTCACCTTGACAAACATATAAATAGATGCCTAGCCCATAAGGCCGGGATGAAGCCGGTCCATGTCAACGTGATCATATTGAGAACTTTTGCTGAGTCACCGTCTGGAATTTGGTAGCGACTGAGGTAGGGATCAATAGTATCTTCTGAAAGGATGCGAGGACTTTCCATGGCGACGAGGCTGAGCCACTCATAGGTCTCGAGGGCCCAATCTTCGAAGTCGTCGTTGGAATCTGAATAAGGGGGAGGAATGAAGTTCGGTACACTGACTCTCTCCGTGATCTTCTGATGAGGTGAACAGTCTTTGGTCACTGGGTGGTGCTCGATAATCGGCGCGTCTGTCGCTGCTATACTGCACTCAGTGACACAATTGTCGTCGGTTTTTGCACTCGCAATAGCCTTACTGGGTTCAGAATTTGAATTGAGATCATGGAAAAGCCAAGTCACTGAATGGTTGAGAACATTCTTCAATGCCCATACGATCCTCTCGAAGCCTTTTTTCCCGTGCAGCATCGATGGTAATCGGAGATTTATATCGACTGCTATTGGCCCGAGGTTATTAAGCCATGACTTTACTTCACAGAGAGACCGTACCCACCGTATCGAGTCTTGAAATGCTTTCGTCCCGCGTCTCGGACAGGCTGGCCAACTAGGCCGCATCGTTCGTACTTATCTTTTGCGAGCTCGAGACGAAGTACGCCTGATATGAGGATCAGCCAGCACTCAATGGCACAGCTCGGAGAACAGCTACGCTCGGGGACTAACTTGCCGTCTTTGAGGGAATAGCGATCATCTACACCAGGACGGCCTTCGGAGAGCATCAAGATATTGCCTGCAATGAAATGAGCGATTAGCAGGATGACAAAAACATGAGGCGCAACATATGTATGAGAGCACAGAAAATTGTCGCAAGTACCAATCTTGATGTATCTGTTGAAGAAGTCACCCTCGAGCAATCCAGACAGAGGCATGATAACCCGAGAATATTGAATGTTGCTGATCTTCGCTTCGACCTCTTTCCAGACAACATCATACAGCTCTTGAGGGAGAACTAATTGAACCTACAATCTCCATTCAGTCGACCACCAGGCAAACGTCATTATAGCTTTCATACCGTGTGAGTGAATGGCTGGCCTAAGATGGTTGAAAATGGTTTCTTCGTGGATGGTGGTTGCTCAGGATCTACGAATGGAGGCAGGTTGCCGTGCGACACATACGCCTTTGACGCTGAGGTTTTGGATTCAAGGAAGCTGAACATGGTGGGTGAGAGGTAGATATAAGGATACTTGGGGGTTTCTATTTTCGAAGTTCTTCTCGTGGTGCTGTTCTGCCAAAGGAGGACTAGTCCAGGAACAGGAATTTAGCGCCCGAGCTGCATGAACAAAGACAAGGATTGTGTGCATGTCAAGTCGACTATTATCGACGACCCGACGAGTCCCTCGCACCTCATAAATTCGCAAATCTGCTTCTATGTTGTGTAGTTATTGTTCTTTTCAGCCTTCCTAAAGGGAATTCTTTGAAGCTATCCAAACCCTTGGCATCCACCCATTGTCTCTCTTCGCCCTCACAATGGCCCCACCCCACCCTCGTCGCCCCATAGCCAAAGACCGTTTCGCCGCCCTCTTCCCGACCCTCAAAGTCCAAACATACCAAGACCCTACCTCTCGAGGCCCAGGCTCCCCACACGTACGTACGTCCACCGCCCTCCCCTCCCTCGCCAATCCTCCTGACGCCCCACCAGAATCCGCACCATCGCCTGGAACCCCACGGGCCACCTGATAGCTACCGGCTCCGCAGATCGCACGCTGCGTATATGGAATCCTGAGAAGCCGCAGGTGAAGAATAGTACGGAGTTGAGAGGGCACACGGGGGGGGGTAGAGCGGGTTGCTTGGAATCCCACGAAAGAGGCGGAGTTGGCGTCCGTGAGCAGTGATGGCACGTGCAGGTTCTGGGATGTGAGGAGTAAGACGTGCACGGCGACTGTGCAGCTAGGAGGGGAGGGATTGACGATCGCATGGGCGGCGGATGGGAGCGTGGTTATGGTTGGGCGAAAGGTATGCTCCCCCTCTCCCTCTCCCTTTGTACTATCTACCCATCGTGTCCTCCAGCTAACGTGCAACCTACCCACCAGGACGATACCCTCATCCCCATCACCATCCACCCGACCCCAACCGCCCAACCCTCTCACGCCCCAGCGCTCCAAACAAACCAATGCACCTTCAACCACACCTCCCCACCAACCCACCTCCTCCTCACCCGCGGCGACGGCTCCGTAACCATATCCTCCTACCCCACCCTCCAAACCCTCCACACGTTGCACGCCCACACCTCCTCCTGCCTCTCCCTCGCCCTCTCCCCCACCTCCCGCTACTTGGCAATCGGCGGCTCGGACGCGCTGATATCCCTCTACGATACGACAGACTGGGTCTGCAAGCGCACGCTGACGAATCTGACCGGAGCGGTCAAGAGCGTGGGGTTTAGTTTCGATGGGAGTTTTGTGGTGGGAGGGAGTGACGAGGGGAATGTGCTCGAGGTGGCGCATACCGAGTCGGGCGAGTATGTGGGGAAGGTGGACATTGGGGCGAGCGGTGGGTGTGGGGTTGTCGCGTGGCATCCCGGGAGGTATTGGATCGCTTGGGCAGGGGAAGGGGGTGGGTTGAAGATTTTGGGGGCTGCTGGGGGACAGCTGTGATGAGTGCGGATTTTGCAGGTTTCCTGTTCCGTGTGGAGTGTGAAATGTTTGAGATAGCGAGCGGTCTTGATGCGATAGCGTTGAATTGAAGGCCGTTACGCGAAAAGATGCAGAACCCTAGACAGCGTGAGGCATTTTCGAAGTTCAGCATGGAAAGCATTGATATGCTAATGAGCGGTAGAAGCTATTTTATTTGCAAGCAACTATGCACATTCAGTCCATGTCCAAGCGGGACCATCATCTATGGAAACGCAGCGCTCAGAGTAGCAAAGCCCCCGTGTTGCTAGAACCATCTGCATAAAGCCAAGCTGCATACCTAAGCTAGTTCTTTCTTTCTCTTCCCAGCTGTCAGTCCATGCCGTCAATTGCACCTGTTTTTCATCATTATCGCCATTGAAAGGAAAAAATTGTTCCATACGCCGACCTCTAGCGCCAGCTGAGCGTAGAATCCACTCATAATTGATGCCAGAACGCCTGCTGTTCAGTAGAGATGCTGGGAAAGGCGCAAAGAGACGATGGCATCGTGTGCTGGAGGCACCATTATCGCGTCTAATGTCATGTACAGGGGACTTCATCCAAATGTTAATCTTGCTAAAAGTAATGGTATTGGAGGTTTGGAGAGATGAAATGTTGGTGGCGATGGGGGCTTCGTGGCCTTGCGTTGCCAGCGGTCATGATTTGTATTGGAGGTTGCTAGTGCCGTTAGACAGTTAAATTGCTGCCAAAGTAGATTGGGTGGTACTTTTTAGCCCACTGCCTTGTCAAGATCGAAGCTGAGGTTCGTGTCAGTGACAGCCCGGAAGACCGAGTACGAAGACCTACCTTTCAAGAACTTCTTGCTTGCATATTTCTTGAAGAAGGCTTCATGCTGGACGGGTTTGTGAAGATAGTCAACCATGAGCCGGAAGACCGGCTTGATCTCATCCTCGGTGTATCCCGAGTAGTGAGCAAGAGTTGCATCCTAAGTTGGTCAATATTGTCACATCTTCACCAAGAGAGCTCATCGGATTAGCATACCCATTCGCCTCGTTCGAGGATCAGACGCGAAAGAAACATCGACGCAGCAGCGATGTGACTCGGGTGGAAGGCCATAAACCTATGATCAACCAAGCTAACCTCGAGCAGGTATTTCCCAAGAGTACGCGTCTGAATGTCATAGTTGTCGGCCTTTGAAATTCTTCGGAGGAAGTTCATCGGGTTGGGATAGCTCAGGTCATAATTGAGCGCGGCCAACACGAATCGCTCTGCCTTCAAGATTTCTTCTTCCGTGAAACCATCATCGGCGACATGCTTGAAGTTTTGCACATGGGGTGAGAGAACCTCCTCATACTTGGAAGCGATGAACATGGCCGTAATACCTACGAGTTGCAGCTTCTCCAATTCTACAACTCTAGCGGACAAGAATCGATCGATGATGTTGATGGCGAGGAACATCGTTTCAGGTAGCAGGTGGAAGCGAGTGTGAACTTCTATCAGCCAGTCGACAAGAACGCCGCGCAGGTGCCACTCCAGGTTGTCTTGGAAGTCCATATAGTCTGGGTTGGGCATTGTGGCTTCCTCGAGGACCTTGAGATACTCGAAGATCTCGCCAACATATTCTGCCACCATGAGAGGGTCATCATAATCTTCCGCGTCCAGATCTACGACGCCTTGTTCAAAGGCTGTCTTGACTTCTGCCTCTTCTTGTTTCAATTCATCTTCAAAGATCTGTTTCTTGGTCTCCACGACCCGCTCCACCTCAGTCACAACTACTTTCTTCCTTGGTGGCTCATTCTCGGAGTCTGCTTTCTCTTCTTTGATTGACTGTTGGCTGCCAGTTGAGCCTGTGTGCCTCTTCTTTGCGGCGGCACCCATCACACCAGATCCACTTGCAGGACGCTTCAGCTCAGTTGATGCCGCTCTCTTGTTGTTGTCCTTGGCTCCAAGTATAGAGCGATTTGAATTCGTACGCGAGATCTTCTGTACTCCAGCACTGGCTGCAGCCTTCGACACAAGTCCGGCCTTCCCACCCAGAGCCTTCTTCCCTTCCTTCGAATCAACCACCTCGTTCTTTGTAACGTTACTTACATCACCCAGTGCTGCTCGTTTCCGTTGCCCTGGTGCAGCGCTCGCGTTTGATATGTTTGTGGTGGACCTCTTGGTTCCCAAGGCTTTCTTGACCATTGCTGCACCATCTTCCGGCACGGTCAAAGCAGCGGCTTTAGCTCTGGTTAGACGTGTCGAACCACCGTTCTCATCGTTCTCGTTGGTGACAGCACGCCGTATCGATCGAGCCTGTTGCCGAGTCAGCCTTCAGGTTGATCCTGTCAACATCCAATACTGATCGAGCCCCAGCTGGAAGCAAACTGGGTTCGCGTCTGTTAGGCATGCAATGACTTACTGGAGGCATGTTGATCTTCTGCAACCACTGAGTATCGCGATTGACTTGGTAGGTCTGTAAAGTTGGCTGAAGAACTCCAACGTTGGCTACGGTTTCGCGGATCTTGTTCTGTGTGACAGCCTACGGGATCGAGGACATGTCAGCCTGAAGGGCATTCCAAAGCAACGATGTGTTCACTTAGTATATGCGGAGCGAGACAATATGGGGGACCGGATTGCTGCAGTTGGGGAAGACAGGGTAGTATTTCTCCGAATTTTGGCGCCTGGTACCATATGGCGGCAGCGGTTGCGATATCGAAGTATGGTCACGACAAAATTGAAGAAAGCTGACAGCTCAAGTCAAGAGGCCCGAAGTCTGCAACAACCTTCGAATGGAAGTGGTGTTGGAGACCACGGGTGTGGAAGGGTTGGTGGAGAGGGTGGGTGGTGATTTTGGAGACGGAGCGTAGAGGTAAACAGCACGTCGCCCTCTCTGCGCTAGCGGGCGATTGGCGTTTAGCAACAAACACCGAATGTAACCGAAGATGCAGAGTAAGTACAGGTCAATGCTGCGAGATTATGTTGTAGGAGGTGCCCACTGAGATGTAGAGTAGGATGTTGAGGGTCATGTACTTTGGAGAAAATATTTTGCATTTCTCAAGCTTCTCCGTTGCTCTAAAGGTCTTGCATAGCAACCTCGCAGCAACGCGAGAATTCTTGCGCTATGCCATATCTAGATCATGACTAATCATGACAGGGATCTTGAGTATCCCACGCCGATTGTGGGCATTCAGAGCCTTCAGAATGCGCATTTCATCGTCGGATAGCCGAAGCTATTCCAAGTAGAGCTTAACTATCACGATGTTGCTGCTTCGGCTGCTTCGACAGCCAGTTCAACGCTGCCAAAGCCTCCACACATTCTCTCGCCGGCTGTACCCTACAGAGATTCTTCCACCTCCAGACCCATTGATTGCCAGAAATGAAACCCTAGGCGTCCAATCTCGGCCACAGTATACACCAGAAGAAAGGGGTGTCCCAATACTACGAACCTACAAGCCTCGCACGCCAGGTCTACGACATTTGAAGCGGCCCATCAATGACCATCTCTACAAAGGACGCCCCTACCTTCCATTGACCCATCCAAGAAGAGGTCAGCATATTGGAGGAAGAAACAGTCATACGGGCCAAATCACTGTTAGACATCGCGGCGGAGGTCACAAGAGGAGGATACGGACCGTTGACTTTCAACGACTAGAGCCGGGAAAACATCTAGTGGAGCGGATCGAGCATGACCCAGGGCGCAGTGCTCATATTGCGTTACTTACTCGGACTGTGGGTCAGACGAAAAGTTATTCATACATTGTTGCGCCACAAGGTATGAGGGCTGGGGAGGAAGTGGAAAGCTTCAGGCAGGGAATACCTGAGAGGCTGATACGGGAGCTGGGGGGTGTTCACGATGCTGGCATGATAGCGGCAAAGACTGCATTCAGAGGAAACTGTATGCCACTCCATATGGTACCGCCTGGCAGCATTGTCTACAATGTCGGTCTCAGAAAAGGCGGGAAAGCACAGCTGTGTCGGAGTGCTGGGACTTATGCGCAAGTGATCAGTAAGAACGAGGGCGATCCAAAAAAAGCGTTATATGTGGATGTAAAATTGCAGAGTGGGGAGATCCGGAAAATTCATCGAGATTGCTGCGCGACCATCGGGACTGCCAGTAACGTCAACTTTCACCGGAGACAGCTTGGGAAAGCAGGTCGAAAACGATGGCTAGGTATTCGGCCCACAGTCCGGGGTGTCGCCATGAATGCGGCAGACCATCCTCACGGTGGAGGTCGAGGGAAGTCGAAGGGCAATGTGCACCCAGTCAGTATCTGGAATCAATTGGTACGTATAGCTGCAATCCAAGTTCGAGAGAGAAGCTAACAGTCTTGCAGACCAAGAGTGGCTACAAGACCAGGACGAAGTCGAATGTGAACAGGTTCGTCGTTTTACCTCGCCCGCGGTCGCAGGGAAAGAAAGCCAAGGCAAAGAAGAAGAAGAAGGCATCATGAGCATTTGGTACCTTAATGCAATGGGTCTCTGTGATCAGCAAAGTCACCTACGTCCATACTTTGACACTATTGGCTGGAGATCAAGGTGTAGATCATTGGCGGGATCCTATCACGACATACAGCTTCAGCAGACAGCTTGTGGAGTGGAGACAGACAGCTTGGGTGTCCATGCACCCTTTCTTCCGGGTTGCAGGAAGATGGCATATGATTGAACCGGCAGACAAGGATGCTTGTTCTGTCCAGGCTCACGCAATGCGCTTCCGTCTTGCCAATGAGTCCCATTCGAGGTTGTCCCTCCCTCATCACAAATGGAACCGACGATGTGACATATCGAGGCAACCATGTACATAGTCAATACAGAGGACATGTCAAGAAGACAGGCAAACTCCCTGTCAGCGCATTATCGTTTAACAACCGGGTCAAGCAACTTGATACAGCACAAAGCACTCCCTCATCTTTTCCACATCTCGAAAAGTTGCTTAGTCTGGATTCACAGCCTAAGATCCCGAAAGATGCTCATCCTTTGATGTGCAATATGCAGCCTTTGGTCGTTTCTTCAGTACCGTTATCCCTGAAAATGATATTGATACTTAATAAGCCTGTCCCACCAGCATTGCAATGGTGCTACATATGACACAGCCTCACCGAGACGCTACCTCATTGCAATAGATGGCTTCGGGCGCTACTCCATTCTTAGACCTCGTTCGCTGCGGGCCTCATGAGTCTTCGTTCCATCTGCCATCCCACCATATTCCTAGTATGAGGAGTCTGACCTCAAGTGCTTCATTGAGCCAAATCCTACACATGAGCATCGCAAAGCCATGTATATGAATCGAATACCACGACAACAAAGAGACCGAGCCCAGTCCTCGAGGTTTCTTCCTCTGAGAAATCTGCAATGACCGAGGACATTCATCTTGAGCGTGACGATGGATTCACCCGAATCCATTATCCAGATACTTCATGCATCAGTGAGGCAGATTGCAGAATGAGGAAAATGAAACAATCCTCCGGCACCATGGGGGCGAAGCCTTAGAGTGTTGATAAACGCCAGTCTAGATTGGGCACGCCAGTCTTAGCTGATGCAGACTTCAAATCCTTCGACAACATGAAAACAACTTAATTCCCACCCAGAATCTTAAGCGTTCCTTCTCTTTCTTTTTCTCACTTGTCTTGTGTTGCGTTTTTGAAATTTAGCCAAAGGAACGGCTACTGTTTATGGAATTATGGCGTCGCACATATTGAGCCTCCCTGTCTTTTTATCGCTACTGCAGCATGGAGCTGTCGCCCAAAACTCATTATGTACGCACTTGCAGCCCAACTGTTGCTTGTCATTAACAAAAGCAATGAAAGCCTCAGCAACGAGCGGTAACCTTTCGATTATCACTCCTACGATATCTACAGGCACATCACCAACCATTACTGCCTCCCCCTCCCTGACTCAGGCTAGCAAACAATCGTCAAATTGTAATCCATGCCAAATCATCATCGCTTTTGACGGTCTCAATCGCAATTACTGGTATACTTCTACTCTTCCGGTGTTTCTTCGGGGTCCAAGTCAATGTCATCAGGACTCCAGTCATCCCATGGATATCTTTCGTCCTCTCTGTAAAGCTCCTTCGAACCAAGTGTCATTCCTGTGGGAACAGGCTGGTCTGCAGCGCCAGGTTTTCTGTCGACGAGGACCACATCCCTCACATCTTGCGGCGGAGTTGGCATCTCCAAGTCAATCGACTGCACCTTTTCAATTAACGCTGAGTGCGGCAAGGGTTTTTCTTGCTGGGAAGTGATGTCACATACCGATGGTTGACTGGCGATATCATCCGCAAGACTGATTTCAATGTGCATGGTGGAAATGGGTATTGTAGGTAGCGAGGCTATGCAAATTGATGATTTGGAAAGAGTGCTCTTGGGGAAAAGAATAGGAATCCAGCCTTCTCTGCGGTTCATTTGCGAACTGTTTCGGCCGCCTTCTTTGGCCTCCTTGCCTCGTTGCCCTAACATTGCATATTTAGCGTATCCAAAACCCTCTGGAATGCTTGGCACGGGAGATCTTTCACCCCAATTCGTACTGTAGCATAGAAATCTGCCCGCAAAATCATTCAATAACACTGCTATCGTTAGTATAGGTCCCAAAATGGAAAAATGAAGCTATACTGAAGTCTTGGCAGGTTCCTCAGCCCCCAAATCGCCATGCCTCTTCCCCTTGGTACTTCTGCTCAGGCGAAGGCCGAGCATCTTCCTGATTCGTATTGAAGGCCTCTCGCAAGTAGCCAAAGAGATCCGCTATTCTCTTAGTACTGTTTATAGCTAGGATCAGCGCCTACAGATGTATCGCACTATAGGCCCTCTACCTCACGCCCTACCTGATGGCCGCCCCCATCAAGGGGCGGCGACGGCGGCGGTTCGGTGGCTGCTGCGTTATTGGTGCGTTTGTAAGACGTGGCTGAGGTTTGTATAGCTTCAAAATTGTCCAATGCGACTATTTGCGATATGGCTATTTGATTTGAATGATGAGATTTCTATGCTACAGTACGAATTTGGGTGTGTGGTGTGAAAGATCTCCGGTGCCAAGCATTCCAGAGGGTTTTGAATACGCTACATGGGAGGCGTGGACGTGAACTCCATGTGGTGTTCGCTATTATAACCCTCTCAAACGCAGGTTGCTCTAGATTTAGAAACCCTGACGCACACTCATCCTACAGGAGCTCCTGCCAAGATCAGTGGGAGGCATTATCTATTTGAGCCTGGGAGGAGCCTTCGACATTGAAAGCCATCAACTCGACCGTGATCATCTCCTTGCGAGACAGGGGATTTGCTAATTCTTGAGATTTGATCCATCCTAAAGAACTTTAAGCCTTGTCTGCGCATTAAATGCCATGACCTCTCGGCGCTGGCGAAGTAAGTCAACTAAATCTGAACAGCAGTCTTCACGTATGCAATTCTACCACAATTCTACCTTCCATATCGTGCATGCCATATCCATGGTCCGCTAAATTTCGCATTGGAATTGTCCGTTGCAGCCTCGCTATGAGAGACGATACCAGAGGCGATGAAGCCAGCTCCGGCGGCTTCGACTTCTCCTCGAACTTAGATGCAATTCTCCAACACCGGGTTCAAAGGAAGTCGGCTGCTCGATGGGCGAGAAATCTGAGATTCCTCACATTTGCTGGTGATGAGATTCACACAGACGCCAAAGTTTCAGAGGGATCCGACTCAACGAAAGAAGTGCACTGGGGCCGATGTACTCGCTGTGAACTGCGAACTCCGCCTGCGGCAGGACACATATGTGCTACCCATGCTCAATCCAATAACACCGACATAAAGACATACGAGAAGCGGGCCAAAGAGTATACTGATCCTTGCATACATGTGGAAGATGCGTCTTGTGAAGAGTGTATGCAGATACCCCTCTTTCCAAATCATGGTAAGGCGACGAATTTCCGCATCAGAAGGCTCAAACCAAAGGGCACGAGGCCGTCTGAATTAGGGATCTGCACTCACTTTGTGGCTGTCTCCTACTGTTGGTCCAGCGCAAGCGCTCGAAAGTCAAGTGAGTCTAGCACGGAGGGCAAACAGTATCAGGTCCTTGAGGAAGATATGAAAACAGAGCGTCCCATACGCGCTCCAAAAGATACCATTGATCGAGCAGTGAGCTTCGCCGCCCAGAATGGATATCGAATGATTTGGATCGACCAGGTAATTTACTCTTCTGGTTTATCATCCTAAACTTCACCAGCCCTAACACAATGCAAAGGAATGCATCGAGCAGGACAACGAGAATGAGAAAGAGCTGGGTATCCAAGCGATGGACTTTGTGTATGTCAATGCGCAGATTTCCATTGGTTTGTTGCAAGCAACACTCGAACAACGCCATCTTGACGCTCTGCTACTATTTTTCGAATGGAAGATTGGGTCGGGTATGCGACGTCGTGGACCTCGCCCACTCAAACAGTGTCGAAGTCTCCGAATAAAGAACCTTGCTGAAGCTTTGAGCATGATTGCAATGGACAGATGGAATACGCGGGCATGGATTCTCCAAGAAGCCTTCGCGTCAGGTGGTAACATGATTCTTTTATTCCCTCGAGCAAAGGAGACGGCTGTCAGAGGCTGGAGTCTGATCTGCCACGATCTGTCTCTCACCGAAATTGGCATCAAGCTTGACATACTACAGAGGTGTATTAAGCAATCCGTTGGCCTCTTCACCCCCAAGCCTGACAGCAGTATCCCCATCAAGCTTCCGGAATGGATAGAGGCCTTGAAACGTCTCACGTGGTTCCAGCCCGAGACAAGCACTCGGCACATGTTCAATTTCTGGATCAATGATGCCAAGCCTAGACGCACATGCAATGCCGCTGTGGCGATGTCCTTTTTGAAGCACCGAGACAATGATCGTGTAGCCGACAGACTGGCCATACTTGCAAACCTATGCGATTATAGTCTGCGGCTGAATACTGTGGAACTAGAGAAGTCTCAGGGTCGTCTGAGCGTCTGTGTTCTTGCACTGGCTATAGCAAACGGAGATTTTTCATTGCTCTCACCAGAGTCATACCATATTCCTCGTGGATTGGACGTCAGTATGCTTTTCCAAACAGTCCATGCGACCAGGAACGAACATTTACTAACAGCGAATAGCCCGGAACAAAGGCGACAAGAAATTTACCTGGGTTCCTCCCAACGTGACGCAGCTCCAGTATATCAGATCGAGGACTGCCGATGCTGGAGGAGCGACTCCCGGCCGAGTCTCCCCCGTCTCTTACCGGGTAACAAACGAAGGGCTCTCAATCCGGGGTTCCATGTGGAAGATCGATCGTTTTGTTGAACTGCCGTCTATAAGACACAAGTACAAAGAGTCCTGGGCCAGGCTGTGGCGCCCGAGTACAAGGATCGAGGAGCAGTCCTTGGAGGTGACGGAAAAGCCCTACATCTTCCAGCAACTGTCTAGGGCTCACTGGCGGGCAGTCACGCATATTTTCTTTGAAGTGATTGAACTGCTTCACGAAGAAAACCCAGATAAGTGTAGCAGAGGCCGTATGGCATTCTGTGACGAATGCCGATTGGAGAAAAGAGAGATTTCTGGAATCCGTCGCCGAGTTCCCGGAGCAACTGACAGTTGAGAAGCGTAAGGGTATGTTCCGTTTAGAACAAAGCACGGATGGATCTCTTGAGCACAAGTGGTTGATTGATAGGATCATGCTCCAAGGAGGCCTATGGATTGGCCGACGGGTGCGACTTTCTACCGATCATGAATCCAGTGATGGGACACCCTGTGGATATGGCGAGAGTGACGCCGTGTCTGGCGAGGATCAAGTCAGCTGTGCTACCCAGGATCAACGGCTGGAAGACAAGTTCCGCTCTCCTGCTCAGGAGCATACAGCACCGAACATAGAGGCGCCTAGAGCTGTATCAGCTTTTCAAGCTGATGACGTCGCCAGAGAAGCAGGTCAGCCATCTCCTCTGGCGTCCGTTGATGGGTCTATGGTCCCGGCAACCCCGCACTCCGGAATCAAATTGTTTGACTCTCTTCGCGAATCAGAGAAAGCCCCTAAAACCCATTCTGACTATCAATCCACGCTTTCCATGATGATGAAAATGCACGATCACATGGCAATTACGAAGGATGACAGTGAGGGAGAGGTCGATGACCCTACCGATCCCGATAAGGCCTTCAGGTTCTTACCGGAGAATTTAGCAGACTTCGTTGCATTGATAAACAATATGGATGGTAGGAATTCTCAGACGTCTCTTCGGCAACAGCGCGCAGTCTTCGACATCGAGGGCGACATGTCAGGACAGGTTTTGATACTGACCCCTTTCCAAAAGCGGTTGGAGACGCTACCTCGGCCTGAGACTCGGAGTCTGAGCGTGTCTTGGGTGGTGCAACCTGTTTCAAATCTTGTCGGATCCAAAGACAGTCGAAGATCAGAACTCTTTGGAAATGTCGAAACGCTGAAAACCTCAGGGATGGTTCGTGGAATGTGGAAATATATGGTGCAACCTGAGGACGGATACAATCTAGTATAGACTCGCAAGCTACACAAAGTACTCAAAGAAAAGCTTTACATGTTTAGGATAAGGCATTACCATGAGTAATGTTGTGACGCTTGAGAAGAGTCCGTCTTGTTGGCGTTACCTACAGCAGCACCCCTAAGCATTATTTGCGTTTAGGTGTCTGATCGATATCTAATGACAGGGGTTGATACAGTCAGGTTTCGCTTAAGGAAGACAACTCATTGAATCGCCGATGATTTGAGTATTGACGCACATCTCATACCTGCGGAGTTTTCCCCCCAATTCCTCCGCCCAAAGATCAGGGATATATCCCGGCCATACCCCCACCGCCCCCGACTGGGCGCCGCCCTACTAATGTTCGAATGGGTTGTTGCCGCCCCGATCAAGGGTGTGCTTGTGCGGATTCTACCGCTTATACGGTTTTCCGTTGCCGAACACCTGTTTGCAAATTTCCCCTTGCGAAGTCAACGCCCTTTGTGACTAGATCGGGATCCGAATCCTTACAATGGTGTTGGCAGCGGTGCAAATCGTTAAGCTGTCACCCTACAAATACGGAACATCGCGGCAATGATGTCAATCCTTCAATCTTCCATTCTTTCAGCTGTACAAGAATAGACCAACGTTGTGCCATGGTCGCCCTTGGCGTTCCGCTGCGATGAAAGCTTGGGGATTTCTTTATATACTGATTCCTGACATGACTTGGTCTTGACCAGTTTTCTTTTCTTTCCTTGCTGTGTCTGCCTCTCAACTTCGGCCGCGGACCCTCCTCAACCCATGGCGGATGTTCAAGTCCACACATCAGTCGAATTATCCGAAATAGAGTCTCTCGCTACCACTGCTGCATCCAATGGAAGACCGCCGAGTCGACATCAACCAGCAAAATCTGCCGTCGACCGAGTCAGTCACTCGCTTGGGAAGCTAAGTCGAAAGAAGAATCTCAAGGTATTGGACCTTCTGGTCGTGCTGGTAACTTGGATATGCCTTGCCATCGCAGTCATCGCCATCACGCCTCGTTTGGATGTTGCTTGGACGCTTCGACTCCAGCATCAACTTCAAGTTATAGGCCTCATGCTCAGCATCATGAGTCAGTGCCTTCAAATTCTCGCTCCAAATTTATGGATCATGGTAGAGGCTTGGTGTAGCAAGCCCAAATTACAGAATTTTGATGCTATTTTTCGGAATTCGATCATGGTATCGAATGCTCACTTGATTTGGCGAGCTCTATTGCTGGCATTCATCGTTTTGCCAATAGGCCTCAGTCTGGCGTATAAGGTCTTCGTGGGAGGACAGAGTACGCATGATTTCGGCAACCATACAAGTTGGTACGGTATGACAGGAGCCCCTGGGCTGACAAGAAACACTGTATTAAGATTTGGTCCTTCGTACATGACCAACGCAACACTACCTTTCATTGCGGCTTCGGCAGACTTCGAGACTCTGCCATCGTTTCCGCAGCCGTACGGATTCAACAATCTCGTCATCTCTAACACATCCTCCGCGTTTCTGGACGCCCCACTACCAAGTCAGGTTCCGCTACTTCAGCAGAGCTTGCACGAGGACACTACCAGTACCTTCACGCTCACCGCAGATGTGCACGCAACGGTCACAACATACAACCACTCCATCGAAACTAGTCGAGATGATGACGCTTTCTGGGACTTCTACCTCAACCAGATGGGCTTGAATAGCGCACCAGATTCTTTCTCACTCGGTATATCCTGGATCGACCTAAGCAGCGGCAAGACTCTGGGCATACTCACCGGCAACCAGACAAAAGACGCGTCGTGGATCATTTTATCATTCTTTCAACAAAGCGATCATTTGAATTCTTCAGATATCTGGATCCCTGCATTCCGAGCCAACGCATTCCTATTTAACACTCGTCGCGAAATCTGCAACGCCACATGGCATATCACGTACAACTCTATGCAGCTCACCGAAGGCAATTGCTCCGTATCATCGCCGCTACCAAACCAAAAATCTCTCTTCACTACCAACCTCGCTTTCAGCACTTACTACATGCCCAGTCTGGCCGAATACCTAGCACCGCTCTCGACGCCAAGCAGTGCCGCCGCGACCGAGCAGAACGTATACGAATGGGGCAACCAATGGTTGATGTCAACATTCACGACTACCGTTGCAGGGATGTATTGGTCGCGGTTGACCGCCCTTCTTGGACCCGACAGCTACGTTAACGGCACGATTCCGGCGTACAATGACGAAGTCAACTACACAATCCCCGACACGCTGCCGTCGAACAGACAAACAATGAATCCTTCCTGGGCCCTTTACGTCGTGCTTGGCGTCCAGCCTGTCCTCATCAGTCTCATATTCATCGCTAGCTTCGTCCTGAGCTACTTCTCCGCCGTCGACGGCGCCAACTTCGGTATCATCGCCATCCTTGCCGGAGCGCGAACGGAGACTTTGAAGCTCTTCGATGGGGCATCGTTCTCGGGTACGCTCAAGAAGCCCGTGGGCATACGGATCGACACCATCACGACGAGACACGAGAACGAACCACAGATAGAGTACGCTTTCTACGACGATGGCATCCCCCCGGAGCCGTCCGCCACAGCAACCTGGCGACACCACTTTATGCCGTCCCGCTTCGACACGAGGAAGAACACCGGGTACCACAAAGTTGATGTGTAGCCTAACGTCTTGAGTTTCTGGCTATATGTGGGTGATCTTGGCGTGGAGAAAGAACCACCGCTTGGGTTACGTGTGCGATGTATCTACGGAACTCCACGGCTTTGTGGTAGCATTCTACGTTCTTCCTGATCGGAATGTTAGATAACTCGGTTTTCGCTCCAAGACATACTATTTTCTAATTGCCCTCAGCATTTCTCCAGTACGCTAATCAAAAACCATCCTCCTTCATCGCGTTCTCTCGCCCTCAAGCGAACCGAATAAGGATTTTCATTTCTCGTCAGGGAAAGGATTCTGCATCAATCATCTTCGTTTCCCCGAATCAGATGTTATACTACACAACACAAAATCACGTTGGCCACCGAATTGATGCCCCCGTCCCTTGCCCCAGCCTCCAGCCTATCCATCCCCGGCGAAAAGCCTTCCTAGGGCCCTCACGACGACCACCTTGTCCCATCTCAGCCCGCGTCTCAACAAAACCTATCGACCTAGCAGTATCCGGGGTCGCATATTCGGAGCAGCCGCCGATCGGGCCCGGTTTCCCACCCTTGCGGGCAAACCTAGCGGTTCGTGAGCGGGGCGAGCTTTCGAGGGGCTCGAAATACGGGAGGATGGATGGATGGATGGACGACTTACGATGTCCCACCGGTTGAGAGAGCAGGCCCCGCTGGCCGCCTGGAGACGTACGAGGATTTCCCTCCTGCACGTCCACTTAGATTGCCAGCGCACGTTTTTCGGATACGGCTGACGATGCAAAGGCAGTGCTGTAGCTTGGGAGGCAGAGGGGAGCGAGGGCGGTGAATAGCACGTTGATGGGTTGAAGGAGGGACCCTTGCTAAAGGAGTGTGCTGGGGGCATCACGATGGGTTTTCAGAGCACCCCGAGTCAGAGGGAGAGTGGCGGCGTTGGTATCTGTCGTAGGTGGATGACACGCTGCGCGGATAGGCTGCACGACACGTCCTGGCGAATGGCAAACCCGCCTGTATGCTCTAAATCCAAACGAGATCACAACAACTTGAAATGTTCATTGATGATGAGCATTGTTCATAATTGCTGTGCCGGAGTAGCCGCCGGTTGAGATTCGAGGTAAGATCGTCCACTTGTCGGTCTGCGTCGAAGGCTATCACGTGGGCTGGGAATTACCTCGGCGAGGTAAGCCAATGGAATAGACTGGAGAGAAGAGGCAATGGATGTACCGTTCTTGGATGGCAGTTACAGACGGCAAGTTGATCTCTGCACACCGGTGGGATCTGTGACGCGAAGCGGCTTACGCTCATACGCGTATCTACTCCGTTCGTCGGCCAATAGCATACATTTAAAAGTCCGTTGTAGGCGACAAACCAGAACGACAGGAGCAGTTGAGGGCGCAATTGGCGACAAGGATTTTGAAAAGTAGCCACGTTGTTCCTGACCCTTTCCAGTTGATTCCGGAGTCCGATGTGACGGTACCGAAGCCTTGCCACAACTTGGATATACCACGATCATTTATCGCACCTCCACGAGTGGTTAGACCTAGCAAGTAGCTAGCAACGACTAGCGCGGTTGAACAACTGCGAGGATCGAGGACATCGGCTTGGTGCCGTTGATCGGCATGGGCTTACGTGGGGTAGGAGAGCGAACTTGTCGGAAGGTGGCTATGGCTGTATCCAACGCCTGAGAATGATACACCAAAGGCAATCAACAAGGCCTGTAGTTGCGAAAGAGTCACACTAATAAGGATATGCCCAGTCATCCATCGTTTCAGGCTTGGACTCAAGAACACCAGCCGTAGCGGTATCTCTCTCAGGTCATCGTTAACTTCTCCCGAGGCCTCTTGTTAACATGGTCGCTGCCGGCCAGACACGTGTTCTCCGTGGTGGGATCGACCCCAGATAAGAACGACTCTCTCCCATCTCCCAGGATCACCAATGGCTGGTAATCCTCTTTCAATGTCAGAAGTAAACAAACGCACTTGACAATGTTGCTGCTTATCACGATGGCCATTAAGACTAGGCTAAACTGTATCTTACAGCGTTGCTCGATGGGGCTGGCTAAGACAGGATCGGACTGGCAATCGAGTGCCATTCACATGATCCGCAATGTCCCAAATTGCGTTTCCTTCATGAGATCTATCTTCCGGAGCAGTTCGCAGTCTTCAAGTCCTGGTCGCCGTAACAAGTCCAACCATATTGCTCGTGCTCAGAATTTGAACGATCAACAGGGGCGGATCAATTCGAGATCGGTGTTGCCGAACGAGTGATCCGTGGCTGCGGAAACGGAATCATTCTGCGAAGACCGCGTTGTCAATGCTGCGCTACTGTAAGGCAAATGCAAGGGTATACCAGAAACTCCCATGAGCCCCCAGAGAGTGGCCCGTCCACGTGACATACCTTGGCGAATCGATGCGGCCTTTTTTTAACGGTAGATTTACGGTTCCTGTACGCTTTTTCAAAATCAACGTACTTCTAATAGAAGGGTCCTCCGCCTTTAGGCGATGAGGGGTTTTATACGTGTCTAGGAAGTTACGGTTGAATCTCTAGAAACGTTTTTTTGAATCTGAACAAATCTTCCCCATTGGGACTCGCTTGCGAGCTGCGGATGGAGTACTGCGTACTCGACTTATCAACAACGCATTTGGAACTTTGGACCACATATCTACGGCGCTGACAGTAGAGTACGAAAGGCCTCAATCTCTCAACGACGAGCGTGAGAGGACGACTCCTTGGGTCTGGGGGCGCAGGTATGCACAGAAGGGCGGGAGGGTGAAACAGGGTCATGTCCGGGTGGCTCGGCTTTGTGGATATTCTTTGGCATGAGATCAGGGATCTTATTGCTCCGTAGACAAGGAAAGTGTTAAAGTTGACAATTATTTAATGACAAACAAAGTGTAGCAGCTTCATGAAGAGTACTAGTACGGAAGACACGAAGGTCCCTAATGGCCCCCACCAACCCCCCGGTTCATTAGGGTTTACGGGTTCACCCGAGTCACCCGAAGCTGCCGCTTTTCGAATGAGTAAGTAAGGTTAAGGTACCTTAAGGACGGTAGCTTAGGGCTTGCAGCACTGGTACGATAGCCCACACTGGTGATGCATCCGGGTGATGCATTTCTTGGGGACTTCTCATTCAGTGTCTGGGCTTAAGGAAATACCCTGCAAGTTTGCGACACGTATCAACCATACGCAACGGTAAGATGGGACTCCTGCATATTGCGATCCGACCTTGCAGAAACAGAATCCTTCCGCCCTATGATTCAAGGGTGTGAGGCATATTCCTTGCTGCACGTCAATAACACCATGTGCCTAAAGCCATTCTGCAACACTCGGATCCGACTGCCTAAAAGCGGTTTGGTGCAGGAACCGGATCCACCAGTCTGGGTACCTAAAGGTGGGAACAGTTTCCTTCAATCAATCGCCTCGGATGCATGTCAGACGTTCCGTTGCAAATCACGAGCATGGGTGAGCTATTGTGCCCTCACTTGTGCCCTGAGTAGCCAACAGAGAGGGCAGAACGTTCGCATCGAACAGAATCATCGGTACTCTCCAAGAATCACACGATTGTATCCTCGGCATCCGTTTGGTCGCATAATCTGGGCTTGTTTATGAGTGCCTGTGGACTGATCGAGCTACTGCTCTCAAGGGAAATAGTCTTCGCTCATCTTTCCACTCATTGAATTAGAGGTCTGCAGAGCGAGTAGACACTGGCGATCAACGCCTTATCGAGCACATCCACGGCACAGACTGGTCAAAGCATGCATGGTCAGCCCACTCTCAGTCCACTCTGCTAGTGCAGCCGAGAATTGAATCTTCTTGGGGGTCCAGCACGAATATACCCACCGACTGAACTGTTCTAACTGTACATTGATGATACCATAACCGGCATCGATTGGTGGCTACCTCCGAGCCAAGAGGATGAATTTTCCGGCGGTAAGAGTACCTTGCAGAGGATCGCTCCGTGGTCTTCTACACCGCAACCATGAATCGAGTCTGAACCAGGGCAAGAGATGTGGTAGGGTTCTACGAGACTGTGGTCATGTGCATGATTAGCATTTCGCAGGCCTCTGATAACTGACATTTGGTAACCGTGTTGCGGTATCAATGGTGCGGGGTATCGGAGTCTACTTGTGGTTGGAGGAATGACTTCCATCGTACCAAACTTTCCGGTTTCTGGTACAGAAATGTTTTGGCGGAGGGGGAGGCTCATTGCTGAATCCCTGCCGATGGGAGCGTACCGAAACGTCTCCAAAGTCCTGGGTGGAAACGAAGACTATTCATTGTTACATTCCATCCCTCGTAGCAGCAGTGGTGGCAGTATCGAGATGATAAGAGAGATACAATACCACTGAAGCATGTCTTCATGTACGGAATACGCGCGCCAACCAAGACGGATTTGTAAAGAGTGCGGACAGTTGCAGCCGTTCCTCTCGCCTATTTATATCTGCTGAAAGAAGAAAGAGCAAAACGACAAGGCTGCTTCTTGAACTCCCATTCTATCGGTGTCCGACCTCTTTTTTCTTTAACCCCCCCTCCCACTCCCCTCACACTTCCAAGCAGTCCACGAAGCCATAGGTACCGTCAAAGTCAGCAAAATGGAAGAAGATCGGGGCTCCATTCTGACTTCCAATGTGCTTGCGTTTGGCATCGCCACTTTCTGTTTTGTCACCCTCCGAATCAGCTTTCGTCTCTACACTAGGAAAACATCCACTTCAGACTGGGTTCTTGCAGTCGCACTAGTAAGTCGTGCTCTGCCACCTACCTCTCATGGCGGAAGATAATGCATGGATCCGTAGCCTCGGAATGTTGGCCGTCGAGGCTGATGATGTCGTGACAGGTTTCATCGCTCGCCCAGGATGCTTTCAATGCAGCCTGTGAGTTGTGTCGCCTTTGCGATTATTCCCTTCAATGTGATCAATGCTGATGTTCATCTTCAGGCGTCACGCAATGGGGCTATGGCCATCACAACCGAGATCTCTCGGTGCGCATTCGCTCTTCGCCAGAGCCACTGAAAGTGAGCCGCCCATTACGTGCAAAGCTCGTGCAAAGCTCTGAATTACTTCCAGCTTCTTTGGCTGAACCAGGTGTTCTTCAAATTGACCACGATGTCGACGAAACTCTCCATCTGCCTCATTTATTTCCACATCTTCAAGAGGGCGAACTCCCGCCTGATCCGAGCCACGCGCATGGTGACATATGGCACGACTCTCCTCATCGTCGGGTATTACGTACCGGCTTTCTTCGTCAGCATCTTCCAGTGCACTCCCGTATCCAAATCATGGCATCCCAAGCAGCCGGGACCCTGTATCGACCTCGACAACTTCCGTTTCTACACCGCGGCCGCCAACATCGTCACCAGCGTCCTCGTGATCGCGACCCCTCTGCCCGCCCTCGGCAAGATGCGGCGCACCCGGCCCGAAGTCACGGAACTCATGGGACTGATCCTCCTGGGGATGGTGTAAGTGGCGGTGTTGCCCCCGAGACGACCGACCGGAGACAGCCCGCTGAACCCACCGCAGTCACACGGGCTGCACGATCGCCCGGCTGGTCCTCATGGTCTACCCGGATCCCGCGACCGGGACCGACCCGCAGTGCAAGTTCCGCTCCCTTCCGCCGCATTCCCGCCCGGTGGTTTTTTAACCGTCTCCCAGGGGCCAACGTCAACCCGTTGACCATCGCCATCGTCGAGATGGACGTCGGCATCATCGCCGCCTGTCTCATCGTCATGCGTCCCTGCTTCGAGGCCATCCACAACGCCGTCCGGACGTCCTGTCGCTTCCCCGGACTGTCCTCCGCGAGGAGCGATTCCGACACGATATCCTCCCGGGTCGCGAGCGCACTGCGGGATAAAGGCGTCGTCCGGACCGTCGTTTTGGAGCTGGAAAGTCAACCCGGCTCGACCCGTGTGGTCACGCCCAAAGACCTGCTGTGATGGACCCTTCCCCCCAAGCCGGTCGTCCCGGCTTTGGGCTACCTTCTGTGAGTGCTGCAAACGGTCCGCGATCTTACGTCGATAAAGGTGCCTATTGTCTATACGATGTCGGACTGGTCAAGCCTGTGTGGCTGCTGGGCAGAAGTCCCCGGATGTGGGCTTGGGGCATTTTTCAACTGGGACAAAAAAAACCGTATGACAAATGCTGGGATAGGTTATAGGAAACAGACTGGCTTCCTGTAATAGGAGTCGAATTTAGATACTCGCTCTGTTTCCCCCGTGACGCAACACTGTCCCGCACCGGACGCAGAAGCCAATTCTAGTCGTACATCCTCTCTCCATTAGCAACCCTCGTGACTACAGACATTGCCAGCTAGACAGCGATTTAGAATCCCCCCCTACATAGGTGCTCCGTGACGGATACCTAGACCGTCATCAGCATCTCCCGCCGTACTAGTACCTGTAATCCCAACAGCCTCACCTGCAATGCCGATGCCGAAAGTCCACCCCCAGTTCCACGCTGTCATTCACAAACTTGGTCCCCACGATATCGTCCACCGCGGTGCCATTCTCCACCCAGTGCACCAACGCCGCCAGCACGTTGTTGGCCCTCGCAAAGGGCACGCCCGCCGCCGACGCCCCGCCGCCCTGGCCCATGACCCAGCCCCCCGGGCCCGAGTCGCAGTGGAACATGCCCGGGACGCGGAAGAAGCGGAAGAAGGCATCGAGCGCGTCGGAAGGCGCCGGCGTCCCGCGCGAGAGGTGGTCGTAGAAGCGCTCGGTGTCGTAGCTGGTGATCTGGTTGTCCTGACCGCCGTGGTAGAGGAGCATCTTGCCGCCTCGGTTGCGGAACCCGCAGAGGCGGTCGGGCCAGGTGCGGATGTCGGAGGGGTTGAGGGTCTCGGCTTTGGCGGCGTCGTGGATGTCGAAGGTGGCCGCGTTCCAGGAGGGGTCGTAAACGACGTATTTGAACCAGCTCTGAAGGGGGGAGGTGTTAGCGAGGGTGCCGGAGAACCTCCTTTTGGGATGTTCGTTACCTCGGAGTAGCTGAATGGCTTTCCGGCGTACAAGTTCTCGGCGGCCAGGATTTCACTGCCAGGCTGCATCGCGGGGTAGATAAGGTTCCCATCCTCCCCGTAAAAGGGGCTGAATATCTTCCGGACCGTTTCCACCTGGGTTGACGTTAAACAGTTTGTAGAAGCGTTCTTTGTACACAGCAGTGCTTCGGGACGGAAGCTGCACAGATTGGGATCCTCGATGATACCGTCCATGACGCCATCAAGGCCATCACACTGCTTTAGGACTTCGTCATGTATCAGGGTCGTCCAGGATGCCGTCGAAATAAAACCGGAAGAATTGGCGGAACCGGTGATGGGAAAGAAACTTGCTCTCCAGGATTGCAGATTGTTGAAGTCCAGGGCAGGAGACCCTGCTACAATGCCATCGAAATCACCCGGAAACATGTCAGCGGCTTTTATACCTTGACGTCCTCCAAGGGAGCATCCGAGGTAATAGGACTTCTTATAAGCCTTGTCATAGAAGAGGTTGGTTAGTTTCTTGCCAGCAACAGTAATCGTGTGGAGCCTTCAAGATGGACAAGGTTAGCGACACTCGCTGACGTGTACAATGGAACCGCAAGGCGACAAACGAGGACCACGCACGATCTCCAAGCAAAGTCGGTAACTACATCCGGGTTATGGTACATTGTAATAGCAGTGGTGCCATTATGACCGTTATTCGAGCCAACAGAGGCAAAGTTGTTTTGCGTAGTGTACGCGAGATCCTCATATTTGATACCTATATTGACTCATCAGTGCTCTCACTCAAACAATAACATCATTACCGCACCACGCCCTGCAGTACGAAGAAAAGAAAAAGAAAAACTCACACCCGTCTATGCCTCCATTACCCGTGACTAGGAATCGGTGGCTCCAGTCTTCCGGAAGCCATAGTTCGAATGATATACTGGATCTGTTCGATGTCGGTATGGACAGTCCCACACGACAGATATCCACCGCAACTATTTGACTTGGTCGAGCACACGTGGGATCGTTATCCGGGAGAGTGAGATTCGTGCCCGCCGCAACATACGTAAGCAGGTGACGAGTACTGTTGTATATGTATGCTTCTGGCGTAAAAGATACACATCTGTCCTGGAAACTGAATACTGCATGAACTGCCAAGGGAAGGCATAGCGTCAGAAACGCTACGAGGCTTATGCTGCGAGCCATGCTCTGCAAAACTGTCCCTGCGGCTTCAGTTGAAGGATAGAAGATCACCGTGTCCCACAGTGAATCAAGATCCAGCCCTCTAAGCGCTCGCACTCGCTTAGTACTCTAATCCTTCACCCACGACTGAGACGCACGAGTCTCCCTGGGGAACATGCAGACTGCTGACTAAGACTTGGCCAATTGAAATTCATCAGTGCAGGCACCATTAGCATCAATAGGTCGCCAAATGATTCTCGGCTCAGCTACTTAAGTACTCATATGTTACCAGAGAATGGCAAAAAGGTCGACGCAAGCTTCATGGCTGGCGCATGGGCATCGCCGCCTGCGCTCTCTTGGCTGCAGTGGCCCTGACTGCAGATACTGCCCTAACGGTTCGCCCCTTCATGAGGTACGGAATTCAAGGAGGCGCTGGAACAAACCAGCATGGAAAGCGCTTTTGATTGATTGATTGATTACATCATACTACCCTGAAGTCTTACCCTAGTGGCCGACTATGCGAGTTACGTAATCTATCTGATCCTTTCGATCAATCGTATAGTCTCAAATAAATAAGGCTATATAAGTCACCGTCATAGTTCTACGTCTTATTATACTTGATTCTTAGAAAGAGATATATTCTATATCGCTAAGACCCTCTCGTCTTAATTATATTCTTCTTTTTAATCGTCTACTCTAGTAAATTCTTATTATTAATTCTTATTAAGAGCTTAATATTATCTAATAAATCTAATATTTCTTATAAAGTTCGTCGCTATAGAGGCGTAGTATAACTTTATTAGCATATTCTTATAAGTAATAACTCTCTCTTTTATCTTTCTTCTTTCTTCGATTTATTATATTCCTCGCTTCTTACTAAATAGTTTATATTTATAAAGAATATATTAAATCATCTACTTCGCTTTATACTCGTATTCTTTATTTTCTATATTTAATATTTATCGATTATAAAGAAAGATCTTAAAATCTATTTTCTCGATTTTTATTTATATTATTAGCGACGTCTTAGCGCGCTTAACTCTCGAATATAGAAGTTATATTTATTTCGACGATATTAATTAAATTCTTCTAAGAATATTATCTCGCTTCTTATTAACTTATTTAATAGTTTATTATTTTATCGCGTAGTCTCTAATAGCTATCTTAATTATTAATATTATTCTTATCTATATAATTAATAATTAGACTATTTTATTAATATTTATCTTTACTCTTTTATTATAAATTACTTACTCTCGTTAGCTAGTAATCTTCTTCGCCTCTCTATTCGCTTATTTATTATTATTAATATTAATATATATTAGAATTTAGTATAATTCTATTACTATCTCGAGATATCTTAGTAAATTAATAATCTATACTATCTATATTATATAGATCTACTTTAAATATTTATTTAAATCTTCGATAATTTAAATTAATATTTAATTATTTATATTTACTATAACTCTACTAAGTTATAATCTTATTTAATATATAATTATTATAATTAGAGCTTAAAGAATATTATATAGCTTTATTAAATATATCGTATATTAGTCGCTTAAACTTAAATAAATACTAAAAGTAGAATTAATATCTAACGATATAGCTAATATTTTTATCTTTTTATTAATTCCGCTATTATCTATATATATTATTATATATTTCTTATTAATTAATCTTTTAGCTAGTTCTTTAACGACTTTCTTAATCTTATAAATTATTATTTTAAAAGACTCTTAATTAAGAGCGACGCTAAAAGAGCGTAATTTCTTAATCTTATTAATATCGTTATATCGTTTTTTAAATCTATTAATATATCGCTTTAGTAAACTTAGTTTTCTATTCTTCTTAGATTTTCTTCTAGATTTTTATCGCTTAAATTATAACTTAATAATCTCGCTATATATTAGATTAATAGCGATTTATAAAATAGCTTTTAAAATAATCTTATCTAGCTATTATTTAATTAATAAGAAATATACTTTTATATTAAGTACTAAAATAAATATAGTCTTAAATACTTTAATTATCTTTCTTTCTATCTAAGATTAAATTCTTTATAATAATAAGAGATAAGATTTATTATAGTTAATAGTATTTTTAGACTAATATTATACTAAGTAGTAATATATTATTTATAAGATAATTACTATCTAATAGAGCTATCTTATACTCTTATAATTATCGCTCTATATCGATTTAATAATTCTTATTAATATATCGATATTTTTAATAACTTTAGATCGAATCTTCTTATTATAGTAGCTTTATAGAAGTTTAAAATTAATTTTAACTTCTAGATAGCGAATAAATCGTCTTATTTTAATATATTATCTCTCGTTAAATTATAGAGAATAGTCTAAGCTAAATCTCTATTTTCTATTAAGATATAATAATTAATATTTATTAGAATTAAACTTCGATTTATATTATATTATCTACTTTATATAAACTTTATTATAGATTTTATAGAGAGCGATATAGTTTTTCTTAGTAAAGTCTTTTATTATTAGAAGATTTATATCGTTTATAAAGTTAATAGCTATCGTTTCTAAGTTAACGCGATTATTATATTTATTAATAAGATTTAAATTATAGAAGAGATAGAGTATAGGTAATAGCGATAATTTTTAAGAAATTTCGATTACTATAAAAGTCTTTAATATAGAGTATTCGCTTATTTTTAATACTATTATTCTATTAAATAAGAACGATTCTACTTAGTTAACTACTCTTATATCGATTTTTCGCTTTCGAAAATTATAAAATAATCGAGAATAAGAGACT